ATTAAGGTTATTTTGTCATATTAACTACTGTGTTAGTGTTGGAATAGACACCACCCTGTCTAAACTAAAAACATTCTTCGCCCACAACTGGCTAGACCTAAATAATTCTCTAGGCATCATCGTTTCTAACCTGGCTGATGAGATCAGAATCTAGCATTTAAAAACATTTATGGAGTGAATAAGTCTATTCCAAATGAGTCGCACATTTTTTGGCCTCACTTGCAACCAACAGCAGAGACAGCAGTGAATCTCAACTCTTTACATGCCTGTGGTTATTTTATTTAATAGAAGAATATAAAGGTGCTCTGAGTCAGCCTCCCTCTTCTGAACATGGTATGATTTTAATACAAAAATGAGTGATATTGTCCAGTCGACTAATAAATCAAGGCTACACAACCATCGGCCGAGCTACAGATTCTCAGGTCTCAAAATACTTTGTTAATCCATACAGTTGCTGTTGTAAGAAAACCTTGTGCGAAATGCTAAAAAAATGTTCTTGACTCTAACATACAGTACTGTGCAAAAGCCAGAGACCAACATTTATTTATTCAAAACTGCTATTAGGTACAAGTTAGGTACAGCATCAACAAAAAATGCAGGAAACAACAGAAAATGAAACAAATATTTCAACAACTAAATGTAATTCTAAGTTCAGTCTTAGAAATTGGTTGCATTTTCTGCTTGTCACAAACCAAGTAATCCTGAACACATTTAAAAATGCTGAGATCTGGACTCTGGGGTGGTCAGTTCATTATTTTGAAAGCACCAACAACTTCTTTGTTGAGCAAATTTTCATTTTTCATCTATTTCCCTTTTTCAGTAATGGCTTTTTGACAGCTACACATCCTTTTAGACTCAGTATTGAGTTGTCTTCTCATATCAGAAGGATGGATAGAAACATTTTTTGTGGATTTCTCACAGATCTGAAGCAAAAGCAGGTGCTTGATTTTTTCCTCTCTCTCAAAGATGAAAGCTTTAAGTGCTGTTTACCTGACTGAGAAAGTTTTGGTGGTCTACCAGGTTTTGCACTGTTGTTAGAGGAGTCCCAGTTTCTCTACAGCTTTTAATAGTTTTTTGAACTATTTTGGAATCTCCTGAATATCTTATATCTAATCTCCTCATAAATATCTCCTGAAAAATGAAAAATGTATTTAATGGCCGTCTTGACAGGAAAGTAAATAAACGAAGGGTGGTCACTGATGTTTGCGCAGTATTTCAAGTAATTTTGGGCCATTACTACTGATCTGCTTACATAATGTTGAGCATTACAAGATTTTCATATGATGATATTTAGGTTTCACAGGCACACACAGCATCTTCTACAAAGAAATGAATAGCATAATACATTGACCAACATTTTCAGATTAACAATTAAAGTAGTAGTTTTTTCATCTGTATTCACACAAAAAGTCAAGGTTAAGCAAATAAGCCATAGTAAATGAAGAGTTATCATATTATGTTATTCATCATCCCACTTCTGCCACAGATCCCAGTGAAGGGAGAATGCGAGCAAAGGAATGAGCTGAGCTTCCTGTGCAGCTGAACTCTTTATGGAATCTGACTTACCGACCATTTTCCACTTCTGACACCCCGACCAAGTCAGAGGTTATTCCAGGCAGGTCTCTCACACTGATGAAAATACTCTTTCAGTGACACCTTCATAAACGTCTACCCAGTATATCAGTCTTTAACAGACCCGACGGCACAGCGTTACCACTTCCTCTGCCATAAAACTTGCTGTCATATCGTGTGGCACATGCCCAGAATATCACCTGCTTTCCAGTGGTGCATGTCAAGAAACACTCTAAGACAGAGACAGGTTTTAATTCCATTTGGCTTGAGTCTTGCTAATCAGATTCTCCTCCCCTCTGGGACCCTGCTCTTATTCTCAGTGTTTGGCAGACGTGTGATCTTTGGGAATCTGATATAAAACACTCCATTCTTTGGCTGGGGTGAGGAAAGGTTAATTTATCTAACTGTAGTCAAAACATTTCCACCTTATTTCCTGACTTTTTGGGTCTATAATTGTTCCTCCATTTTGTTTCAAAGACAATATGGCCAAGACTATATTGTTCACAAACTCGTATACTATATTGTTCACAAAATCTATCATTGAGCAAAGTAGCACTGAGATCAGTCTCACAAGCCACACTTCTTCCTATCATTAGAGAGCCTGGTGCATTGAACATGGCCAAGGACTTTAACAGGAAGGGGCCGTTTGACTGACATGTAAAACAGCAAAACACAGACTGTCAATTTACCATGATATGTGGTAGCAGGTGATTTTCAAAATGGTGTTACAACATTGCAAAATTGCATTTCACATCGGGCTGATTAAAGTCAGTGCACATCGATGTGCAGAATGGAATGAACAAGATCTCGATAGTTGTGGCCAATGTAGTTTACTATAGATACCAAATACTGTCTGTCTGGCTGTATCTATGGTCTGATATCTTCAGTGGCCTTGTCTCAATTCCCATCTATTTCTATGGCTAATGACAATGGGCCTCATTCACCAAACATTATTAGGAAGAAATTTCTTCTTAAAATCTGTTTCTTCAGTTTTTATGATGATTCTGACATTCACCAATGTTTTCTTATTTGTGATTTGTTCTTAGGTGAAAACAGAATCTACACACACTCTAGAGCACAAAGGTGCAAGCAATTCTGCGGTTGAACAACATATCATGAATCTGATGTAGACTTTTTTATTAAGACTTTTCTGAAGAACAAATTTAAGAAAAAAACATAAAAAGATATTGGTGAATGAGGCCCAATGTGTCTGGCTGTATTGAATTGTGTACACCACTTTTGGCTAGTTTTACTCATCATCAGATAAGAGAAGAATAGCAACAGTTACCTGTTTTAAACAGAAAACAGAGGTGTCAATCTCACATTAGACTTATTTAGACTTTTTGAGTGTTCATTCATCATTGTGATTTTTTCTACAAAGCTAAGATATTGTCATGCTCTGCAGTCATTAGTTCTAAAATTCCCTGATGACATGCACTTGGCTCTGTCCCAGATCTTGCCCTAAGGCCTAAAGTCTGCCTTTGGTGACATGGATTTAACCCTTTGAAGTCTAGTCTTATTATTCAGTCATAAAGCTTATCTTATTAGTCAGGAATTACTATGAATCCTTCTGCAACTACTATGTGACTATTCAGTAAGTAATGCAGTTATGGAAAAGAGGAAGTGAAAGTCTTTAGGTTTTAAGAGATTAAAAGGAAGGAATGCTACATACTGGATAGATCTGTTATCCTAAGAAAAGTTAGGAATGTTGTAGGCAATTTTACTCACAAAAACACAAACCTCACAAAAATGTAGCTTAACTATCATCAGTTATTGAGAACACATTACAACCAAAAGAGGTAAATCAGTAAAACAAAATCATGACTGAATAACCTTTGACACTTTTTACACTCATCATAAACATTTACTTTGTAGGTCCACCTTGCTGGTGGTATACAGTGAATGACTGTAGCCCATCTGCTGATGCACTATTTCTGTTAGTCATTCTTTAGCTCTTCATCAATGGGCAGTTTAACCACAGAGCTGCTCTTGGCTGGACGTTTCTGGGGGTGAACCACTAACAACCTAGCAGTGACCAAAAAATCCAGCAATGTTGCTGTACCTGCACTGGGCACACTACCATGTCAATGTCACTGCTGTGCTGAGTATGGTCCACCACCCAAATAAGATCTGGTCAACAGTGTCCTATGGACAGAAATTGACCAGTGATCAGTGGGATAGAAGGTGGCTGACAAATAATGATAAATTACAACAGATGGGCTGCAGTGATACACACTAAAAAGATGTTATTTCAAGGGTTCTTTAGTAAAGGCAGTGGTTCTATTTGAAACCATGAGTCATATATAGAACCATTTCATGCATTCACCTGTTTTGCAGAGGGCCTACGTGTCCCGCAGGGATGGGATCAACTACTTTGGAAGGTCCTGTGAACGCAGTTTCTATTAAAAGAATATTTCACACTGTAGGATGTTCTGCTTGGATGTGGACTGAGTTTCCACTGCTGTATAGCACAGTAAAGTCGCCTGGTGGCTTATTTACACACTGATCATGTTCACTTATCATCAGTTCACTTTAGCCTGCTTTGAGCACACTCAAGCCTTCTTCATCCATATCTTGGAAGGCTTTACACAGCTAAATTCAATCACATGTGTGTCTGCCAAAGTGTTCATAGTCGTCAGGGGCTAGGGGTGTCACAAATCACAAAATTCAGAATTCGATTTAATACCATACAGCGGCGTCTCGTTCAATACATTTTTCAATACAGCAAAAATAAGGACTGGCTGAAAATGTGCCTTAATAATAATAAATATACTCCAGTAATATGTTAATTTTTCCATTTCCAGCTGATTAAAGCACACTTTCTCTCTCTTTGGTATTTCTTTTTAATTTGATCTGTGTTATTGCCTAACATGATTTTAAATTAACATTCATAGTTTCTTCTGTTACTGTTAAGCTTTATTACCTGTCTGTAAAGCTCTTTGAGCTGCCACGAGTATGAAAGGCGCTCTGTAAACACAATGTATTATTATTATTATTATTACTCAGTATTATACATGTACAATATGTTTCTCGTGTTCACAGCTTGTTCACTCCAAGCTGACACACTAATCTCAAGCTAATAATCGACTCAGTACTACAGCAGTCCACGCTGTGCTGTTCCATCCCTTTCAGCGCCAGATGTTGTATTTTCACGCTTCCAGAATCTCTCCTTTTTCTTTTCTCTTTTTCCCTGCAGTCCAGCGACCCCCTCGCCTGACCCGGTCTGCGTAAACAGAGCTTAAGAGAGCTCGGCTTATTTGAATGGGACATATAAGGGCCATCGGTAAAGCGAGTTCAAGGTGGAAAAAGTGACAGCGGCCGTTCTAATGCCATGCTGCTGACATCACCCAGAGCGCGACGTCACGGTAGCTGCGGCCAATCGGCGCGCGCTACGGCCACGCGCAGCTGGGAAGAGTTTAAAAAAGATTGAAAAAGTGTTGATGTGGTGCGAAGCGCTTTCTAATGCACATATAGCGGAGAGGAGGAGAGGAAAAGGAGGACAGAGGTACCTCAGCATCAGCGCCGTTCAGCGTGTACAGCCGTTGGGGCAGGTTAACTTTACTTCACGCCTTCAGCCGTTTTCCCACTTTTGACACCTCCTTCCCGCTCGCGCTCAGCTCCGCAGGCTCCGCGCTCCCTCAGGCTGGTTCAGCTCGACTCTGAGAACCGTCACCGTCAGCATGGCGCAGCAGCACTTCAGGAGCGGCCCGGCTTTCGGACTTTCCGCCGAAGTGAAGAGTAAGGTAGGGCAGGCCGCCTTCTCTTTCAGTTTGTCTGTCAGAGCCGTTGTTTTTGAGGGATGTGAGGGATGGGCGCGAGCGCAGGCAGCAGCACGTGAGCGCGCGCCGAGCTTTAAATGGGAACTTCGCCAATTTTTCGAATTCAGTGGTTGAGATGTCAACAAAGTAATTCAGAGAGGTTTGGTGTGAAGTGGTTCATTTGTAGAGAAATTTACCCACTCAGATTTCTTAACAGTGGTGGTGATGGGAACCAGAGTCGCCATGTCTTCAACACACATACAGCCACTTTATTTACTATCCAAAACCACCAGTGAGCCTACACCTGTCCACTGAGTTTAATATGTAATATTGGTGATGGTAAAATAGTCATAAATCTGAACAAAATCTGACTATTTTGCCTTAGAACACCCATCATATATCCCTCCACAATGATTCAAATAAATGGATTAAAATACATTTAAATCAAAACTTTATCACAAAACCACAATAAAACAGTGTCAGACATCAAGCAGCATATATCTACCCACTTCATGTATAACTTTCTTTGGAGGGAGATTAAACACCTCAGACGTCTGGTTCCCATCACCACCACTATAAACAATTTTGCCTTGGCAAGTCTCTAGAACAGGGCATTTCACACCAAACCACTCTGAATTACATATATCCCAGCCATTTAATTAAGTAGAATTTTTTAAAGATTAGTGGAGTTCCCCTTTATATGAGGAGGAGGCGGTGGCACAGTGAACGGACACTGAGGAGAAATAGGAACACACTCATATCTACACACAAGCCTACGTGGAAAGAATATAAAGTGGTGTGTGTTTGTCTGTGTGTGTGTGTGTGAGAGAGAGAGAGAGAGAGAGAGAGAGTCAGAATGTGTGTTCATGTGTGTAAGCTGTGTAAGTGTCTGTGGGGGCGTGAAAGAGAGTGAGCTTTTGGTAAATGATTGAGTCCTAAAAGTACTTTATTTTTCCTGCATAATTCAGTGGTTGAGATGTAAACAACGTCAGTCGGAGCTGTTTGATGTGAAATGGTTCATTTGTAGAGAAACTCATATTTCCTTACAGTGGTGGTGACAGAAACCAGGAGTCACAACGTGAACAATGAATATAGCCATTTTATTTACTATGAGTTTTCATATGTAATGTTGATAATGGTTAAAATCCAAAGCTTTCTTTGGGGACTATTTTGCCTCACAACACCCTGCATGTACCTCGCCACCATGAATGAATAAAAAAATATGTTTTCATTTACAAAACTATTGCAAAAGATTTCTGTGACGTTTCTTTCAGGGGTTTTAAAACTCTTAAGGTGCCTGGTTCCTATCACCCGTGAACAATTCTCTAAAATAACGCATTCTGTGTCCACATTCAAGCACTCTGAACAACTTTTACTACATCTTAACAATTTAATCATGCAGAAATGTTCAAAAATCTGAAATTCTCAAAATGCTATTATACTATAAAACGCTATATACAAAATGTTACTATATCAAAGCTGCTTAGGCAGCACAGTAACTAAATATGTTCATGCCACTAAAGCTTACTGAATCACACTGAAACAGACAGAACAAGAGGAAGACTGTGTGTGACAGAGACTTAAACCCAGTAAACAAAGCTGTTGTTTTTATGCCTTGTGCTTTAAGTGTAACTCGTGTAATTGTCTTAGGCCACGTCATGCTGAGATCTTGCTTCCAACTGTCATGTAGGATGGAAAATGAGAACAGGCTACTGATTAACACTTCGCTTCCACCTACCTGACACAGCTAGCAGGCTATCAGAAGGCAGCAACCTGTCAACTTCAGCTGTAGCCTGGAAGAGAACGAATATTTAGCCTGCCGTCTTGAAAATGAAGGGCCAGCAGCAGAGGCCACTTCACCCACATTTGCTGTGATGAATATATTTTGACATTTGACCCACAGCTCTGGCAACACATGCATGTATTTGTGGTGTGTAAGTGATCTTAAATGTGCATGGTTTTGTTTAAACATATTCCAAATGTAGTTTGTTTAGTCAGAGCACAAGAGATCTTGTGTCTCGTAAGTCTACGTGACTCTGTCTGTTTTTACTGTTTTTCATAATACGCTTTGATTTAGTGCCAGTCAAAATAATTAGCCTTTTCCCCATTGAACCAGCCTATCAACTTGTCAGCTTAAGTCTTTCCCAGTTTAGCAACCATATTATAGTCACTCATTTCATTATTTCCCAGCATACACTTTGGAATTATTTTCAGATAAATATAACCAACTTTGTTGTACATACTTGAAGAAAATGATTCTAATATGATGCTATTACTTTACATGAGTGGTCACCAAGCCCAGTCCAGGATATCTACCTTCCTGTGGAGTCTAGCTCCAACCACAGTTTGCCACACCTGCTCCAGCTAAAAGACTTCTAGACAAACATTTCAATAGGATGCATTTGTGTTAGGTGAGGAAGCAGGGGTAGCCTCTCCTGGAGGAAAGTTGGTGACCACTGCTGTACATCATAGGTTTCATATGTGTTGTAGGGAGCTGTAAAAAAAAAAAGAAGAAATGAGTTTAGATGTGTTTTAGAGCTGTAGTTGATTCTCTAATAATAATGACATTGTAATGAAATTAACTTCCAGAATGCCTAATATTTGTAAAGTGGTGATCAAATATAAAGACAGATAACTTGACAAGAACTTACAGTAAATAGATGAATAAAGAATATTATTTATCATTTAATAACTTCTTGCTCTTCCCAAAAAGCTCCATAAAACTTCTAGTTTAGAATATTTCTGTCTACACTGTGTAATAGTTTATAATATTTTAGTCTACACTGTATAAGTTATTATTGAATAAAATAACAACAATTATTAATATGACAAGTAAATCCAAATGAACGGTAGTGTGTTCTAAACCAGGACAGTGAGCACCACCATGAATGCAGTGTATATTAGTGATTTGGGTCACTGTGCCCATTTGAGTGACAGCCTTGTGGCTTACTGGTCCCCATATAAGGAAGAGGAGAGCTCTCTGTGTGTCTGCAGCCTGGGGAAAGTGGCTTATTGTAAACAGTTTGGGTTTTGAGGTGGAGCACCAACGGACATCCTAGCCGTAGAGAGGAGAGATAAAATACCACTGGGGAAAACCTTCAGTCCAAACTCAAACGAGTGCTCGTCACCTTATAGTTAAATCGGAAATCCAGTTTTCAGCAGACTGCAGAAGCAAGACTGTGTGTTTTCATTCTTTCCAAACTCAGAGATCATCTGGCAGTTTCGACACGGGCCGCCACACTGCCGTCTTTGTCAACACTGATTATATGCTCTTCCTACTCACTTCATAATCCTCTACTGCAAAGGGCAAGAGTAGATACGCTAAGCTAATGAATAGTTCACAGGTATTTGTAGCGCAATCATAAAGGGGGCCAAGCACATTACTCCAGCAGTTAGTTACTGTATCCCTGCTTCAGATAACCCGTATGGGCCCAGACACTATTTAGCAAGAGAGAGAGAAAAAGACAGAAAGAAAGGAGAGAAAATGGGCAGTGTTGATTGCATTCCTCATGTCCAGAGTGAGAAGGAAAAAAAGCCCAACAAATGGAGGCCCGAGCAAAATTCCTTGGCAGGAGACGACGGCTGTCCGTCTTGGCATCCTTTAATCGGACGTGGTTAGCATGTGCAGCCGCTTCGCTTTAAAAGGACAGGCCTTGGAGAGAGATGGAGGGAGAGAGAGCGAGAGAGTGAGAGAGAGAGAGAGAGAGAGAGAGAAAAAGAAAGAGAAGGGAATAGAGATGGAGGATAAAGAGAAAGATGAGTGGAAACCTGTAAGATGATGGATGGACAGTTGTTGGGGGGTGACATGGAGAAATGAGTGTGTATACATGAGAAAGAGACAGAGAGAAAGAGAGAGAGAGACAGTGAGAGAGAGAACAAGAGAGTAAGGCAGAGAGCTGTTTCTCCCAAGTTTGGTGTGCTGGAGTGGAAGCCAAGCAAACCCCTGCTGCTTTGAAATCAGTGTTATTGTTGGCACTCTTTCATTCTGCCTCTCTCTCTCTCTCTCTCTCTCTCTCTCTCTCTCTCTCTCTCTCTCTCTCTCTCTCTCCCCCTCTCTCTCACTTGTGTTGTCAGACTCAGGCAGCACAAACATTTCAGAAAGGAAGAAAGAGAAAGACTAGATCAGTTCCCCTTCAACACACCTCAACTTTCAGCTGTTGCGAGTCGACACAAAAAAATACAAGTAAAGTGAATATTACAGTTCTGTATGCAGGAATGTCCCCAGGCCTTTTTCATATTACTCCTGCTATTCCTCATTACCCCAGCCGCCCAGCCCGTCTCATAGGCATTATTTTGAGAAGTCTGCTGTTTCAAAAAAAGAGAAGGAAAGGAATGTCATTTATGGGGCTAGTAAAAAAGTAGCAGTAGAGCTTTGATCATATTTTGGTTTATAAACTATGGTAAATGCTGTTGTGCAACTGGATGCATAGTTTACATTTCTAGACAAATAGCATTTAGAATTTTTTCCTTTAATGAAATATTGGACGAAAGCTCTGGGTGATGGTTAAGGTTAGGTCTAGGGTTTGTCCTGAGTAAGTTGTTGTTAGTTTGCTTCTTTGTTCCATAAAACCTATTGTCTTTCACCATCTTTATGTCTCTTAAATGCTCTGGTGGTTTTGAGCGTGATGATGGCCGTCTTTGAGATTACCATATAACATTTTCAGCTTTTGGTGCCCTTTACTGTAAGTGAAAGATGTTTGCAATAAGTTTGTAAATAAGGTATAAATCTCTGTCATCATAATGATACACTAGTTGTTTTTAACTCTTTAAAATGTGGGCTTTACTGTTCCGTGACTATTGTTAATTATTCATTAATTACTATGACACTAATATGTAAGTATTTATAGGAGTGAAGAGTTAACGTGTGAGCCAGATACAGGCCCTTCCTGTCTAAAAGGGTAAATTTAACTGCATTGTCCCAATATAATTCATCTTATCCTGAGATAATAACTCTATTAACAGGAGCACATTTTGATTTGAGCCCATGCCCCATGGATCACGCACACTCCCTTGTAGAGAAAGAGTAACAAATATGATGTAGGTGTGTTAATGGCTTTCAGGTGACCTCTGTTTAACATCTAACCTCCAGCTGGCCCAGAAGTACGACCCTCAGAAGGAGGAGGAGCTCAGGCTTTGGATTCAGGAGGTGACGGGCCGCAAGGTTCCAGACAACTTCATGGAGGGCCTTAAAGACGGAGTCATTCTCTGCGAGTGAGTAACAGCTTCAGATGTTCAGCACGGAATTAACCCAGTTCTTCACAGAGATAACAATGACATTTTGTTTTATGGCTGAATGTTACAGTTCTGATAAGAATTTGGCAGAATTTGCCAAAAACAGCTTCTCAACAAGCACATACACAAGTTTGGAATCGTGTCATATTAGTATAGTTATTTTAAAGTAGACACCAGTTTTAAATGTTTTATACAATACTTATTTTTTGTAGCAGCAAGATGTTACTAAATGATTTATATATCGTAATTATCTGTTTATAGTAAGTTCTTGTCAAGTTATATCCTCAAAATTTGATCACTGCTTTTCAAATACAAGCCATACTGAATATTAATTTTATTATGATTTCATTCTTGATGTTATACAGCTTTCTCTGTGATCATGTTCATTGTGTTGGAAACATCTGAAAAGTCCTAAAACGTATGTCAGTATCATTTTATGTACTGTCCAAAGAAAAACGTGTATCTTCATGTTTGTAGATATTTATTTTTCTTCATCATTTGAACATGGTGGCTTTCCTTTACATTTTCTGTACATTTCATGATGAATGGACCAATAGAAATGCTCCAGTATCACATGGAATAAAATCTCTTTACATTAACTTGCATTAAAGGTTAAGAACATTTTTGCCCTCTCCTGTAAGGGTGCTATTTTGGAGATACTTGTTTTTCTTTGGATAGTAATGATATGCATCTGCAGCAAAATTAATTTTATAGCATTGAATTCAGAGCTTTTAAACCTTTAAAAAGCATTGTCTTTGTGCTGATCATATAGCCATGTGTTGTGCACAAGCTTTTTTAGTCCTGGAAATGACATCATTCTTTGTTCTTCATTCTTGTTTGTCCAGACTTATCAACGCTCTCCAGCCCGGATCTGTGAAAAAGATCAACAACTCCACTCAGAATTGGCATCAGGTGAACAGTACTATTCTGAAAACAGCGTACATCCCAGCAGATGCTTTCCTAAAAATCTCAGAATGCTCTAGAAGCCTGCGTCACACTGCGGCCCTCCCCGGCCACCAGGCACTCTGGAACGCCCCTGCTCTAGTGCAGCTGTTCGTCTCCCCCTGTCCGTAATGCAGTATAAAACCCAGCAGTAAGCCAACTTGCATGATTTAAGCAGCGTAAAGTGCTGTAACACATGCATATCTGGGTCAAACCTGCATCTGAGGATGTTCCCCCCCACTGAAACCATACTGAACTAATAAAAACACAGCTACACAATGAAATTAGGTAAGCACAGCATTTACTACTGTAGGCTGACGGCAGCCTTATAAATTAAGTCAAGACTGTTCAGCCATCAACATTAAGTGAACTCAATAAATGAGTGCTTACAGAATGTCAACTGAGACAGAATATTACTTGAGTGTAAATACAAAACTAAAAATAATATTTCACTTTAAATCAACTAGTTTCAGGTTTATAAATTTCATTAACAGGTTAATTTATTGGAGAACGTTTTATGTCAGATTGTACAATATTTCATCTTTGAAATTGTATATTTCAGTCAGTTGTCAGGTATTTTTGCAAAATAGGGATTCTTCTGTAGTATTCATATATTTCTATCAAACTTATGAATTATTAATTTCTTACAATTTCTATTTTATAAGCTGTTTCGACTGTGTATTTTCTTAAAAGAGACTAATCCTATTTCCTTCAAACTTTTTCCTGAATGCAAAATGTTGTGTCAGACTGACAGACAGAAAATGACAGATGTCCTTCAGGGTTAAATAATGTTTGAAACATTACTTATTTGAGAGATGTGATAGGTAATAATATGTAATATATAATAAAAAAAAAGTGTTTTAGTAGTTACTTCAAGCACAGCAGGTCTTTTGGAACTTTAATGGACTGGTTATAGAAACAGTGCTTTTATGTCAGAGTTTTTCTCTCTAGACTCTAAGTTCTAGATTAATTTGTGAGTTTGCATGTAATTTAGCTCTAAAAGACAAGCTGATTGGAGCTTTAAAGCTAAGCTGGCATACTGGTCGGTATTACCGTGAACTCTAAAACCTGCTACTGCTTTTATTTGACAGAAACTTAGCAAAATACTTGTCCTGCCTTCAATTCATCTCCAAGTCAGTGCAGTCCAATACACAACCTGCCAGTTCAGTAGCAGTTCGTTTAGTTAGCCGTGAGCGATGTGAAGGTTGCTATTTACATTCCATAGTGCTCCACCACTGAACTGTACTGATCTCATCGTGTGTCCACACCGCTCTCTCCTCCACCCACCCTAGAAAGGAAGAAACATTTCTATATGTTTAATACATCACTTCTCCGCTACAGCTGAGCTGTCATTTGAGCAAGGGCGATCAGATCTATTCTGTTTCACATGAAGATGGTATGTGGCTACTGGAACACCAGATAACACTGGAGGTTTTCGTGTTTGCTCTTTGACCATATGCCCATATGGGGTACATGTACAGTTCTGGTCAAAGCGTACAAAGTACACCTGCTCTTATGATACCAATGTTAAAGTTAAATGAACTTCTCTAAACCTGCCTATGTGGTTTTTATATTAGCAGATGATCGTAGGTGAGTTGTACTGAAGATTTTAATTTCTGAACACTTTTTTTTGGAAATCTCATAAATTCCAGTGAAATGATCATGTAAAGTCTGGGAAACATCTGGGAAGACTTGTTTCCCATGAAAGCCTGGACTGAATTTGTGTTCAATAGCAAAGGGTGGCTGTTTTAATGGTTGAAAAACAACAGTGATGTAAATATTATCAATTATGAAAAAAATGTCAAACGTTCGACCAGTAGTGTGCAGTAGTTCTGTTTTCAGCCCCGACTATAACATATGTTGTTTGGTTCGTTTGTCCATTAAGTGTAAGGGACACTGGTCATTACTTCCAGATTTGAATAGAATGTGTTGTGGCACAGATCTCATCCTGTAATTGAATGCAATACACCCATGTTTATAGATGGCTGTATTTCTGTTACCCAAATCATCAACCACAACGCAGTTTGCTCCTCTTTTCGCAGCTGGAAAACATTGGCAATTTTGTCCGAGCAATCCAGGAGTACGGCCTGAAGCCACATGACATCTTCGAGGCCAATGACCTGTTTGAGAATGTCAACCACACTCAGGTTCAGAGCACTCTGATTGCTCTGGCTGGGATGGTAAGTGAAATGCATGCCTAGCTAAGTACGCCTCCATGCAGGGTGCATCTGCATGCACATGTATTTCCTGAGAGCTGTCAAACATACGGGCTTCCACACTCTGCTAATCAGAAACAGTTGTATTGGAGTCTCAAAAACCAGATGAGCCGAATCAGAAAATCCACTCACTCGATGTGCAGGCCTGGCTGTGGGAATAAAGTAAAGAATGAAAGGCATTGGTCCCATAGGGGGGCTGTGGAGAACTCCAGTGTGTAACAAATTCCTCCTGACCATCAGCTTATACCAGACCAAAACAAATCCAGAGTTTCTAGAAGTGACTGAGCTGAAGTCCTTTTTGGCAGTTTTGGAGGGTAATAATATTTTTTTTGTAAAGTGCTTTTTCTATGTGAGTCATTGACAACTTTCACATAAATGAGATAAAATAATGAAAACTCCAAATGAAAAGACATTTTGTCATTTTGATGTGAATAAATTCAAAAACTCAGTTAGGTTCATATGTTTCTTATTCATTTTTATGCTAATAATAATGGAATACTGCAGTGGAAGACAGAAGACAAAATGCATCATATGCATGGTTAATAAAGCTTACAGTTATGGCAGAGTTGCTGTTTGGAAACTGACGCAAGCTGATGTAATGACCAGCACATTTATTTGCCATTAATAGTAGTTAGGCAGATGGGGGTTTTCTTTTAAGAACCTCAAGTCCATTAGTATCACAGTGATTCTATTCTTCAACAAGAATTTATCTAGTTCTGAAGCTGTTCTGAAGGCAATCAGCATTAGCTTTTGTGATAAATCCTCTTGTTGCATTGGTCTCCCATATAATGTACACTAACCCATATCCCTATACTATGTTCAGGCTAAATCCAAAGGCTTCCGTTCTAAGTACGATGTTGGGGTGAAGTATGCAGAGAAACAGCAGCGCAGGTTTGCCCCTGAGAAACTGAAGGAGGGACGCAATGTTATCGGCCTGCAGGTCAGTCCATGTGTGGGTCTGTCCCGTGTGTGTGTGTATCTTTGCTGTGTACAATTTTTAAAGCAAGTTTTGCAAAAAAAAAGTAATATTTAGTAGCTGAAGAGAATAGAATAAAAATGTTACAATGTTTTGGGTTTTTTAGGAAAATGTTTTTTAGTCTGTTTATAAGCTTGCTGTACATGCGAGGCTTTACCCTGTCATTCATGAAGGATTTTCCTTTTCTCGTTTTGGCACTTAGATGGGAACTAATAAGTTTGCCAGCCAGAAGGGTATGACATCATATGGCACACGGCGTCACCTTTATGACCCCAAAGTTGGCATGGAGAATCCCCTGGACCAGTCAACAATTAGCCTGCAGATGGGAACCAACAAAGGAGCCAATCAGGTGCTTATACTGTCTTTCCTGTTGTGTTCAGTTCACATGTGGTAAATGGTGACATATGTATCTGTATGTATATATAGAACAACAGAACTGTAAATTTAAAAAAAATGATAATAAACTAAAATAGTAAAATACTATAAAACAAGTATAAAATTAGCTAACATGAGGTCTGAGCTTAAGTCATTAGGCAGTGTTCCCCCATAGCAAGACCATAATGGCTTAAAGCACTTTCAGCTGTTCACTGTGAATATGACTAGAAGGCCAGTGCCTGGTGACCTGAGAGTTTTGTTTGATTTATACAGTGTTTGACATATATTCAGAATCAAAACCACTAAAAGCCTTGTAAACGTATACAAGTACCTTAAAATCAATTCGACTTTGGCTGGGAGACAAAAGGCATGAAGTAAGGATAGGAGCATTATGGACGGTTTCCTTGTTCCAGTAGGCATTATGAATAAGTTAAAGCATTAATATTGTCTTTTAAGGGTGTTCAGAAAAAAGAGTGTTAAAATAGCTTAACTGCCGGAGATGAATGCATAAATCAGCTTTTTGGCATCAGATTGGGTCAAGAAGCTTCTAATTTTGAAAATGTTGTTTAGATAATAAAGATCTGGTTCAGTAAGATTTGCAGTGTGAGTCTGAATATTAAGATCAACATCCATAAATCATATGAAAATATTTAGAGTAATCTGGGAAAATTTACATCTTGTTCAATAACTGTTCTCCTCGCTCTTCAGTCTGGGATGACAGCGCCGGGCACCAAGCGCCAAATCTTCGATAAGAAGCTGGACATGGAGAGCTGTGATACATCCATTGTTTCACTCCAGATGGGCACCAACAAGGTGGCTTCTCAGTCTGGCATGACCGTCTATGGCCTCCCGCGCCAAGTCTATGACAGAAAGTACTGCACCTACCCTGAAGACTACATGGACAACGGCCAGGACGTGCGGGAGATTGACGGATACCAGTATTCTGACTAAGCCGCATGGACAGCTACCCCGCACACTGCTTTTATTTTTTTTTTTTACATTCACCCTTTTCTTTTTTAAATTCACCCACTGTTTTCTTGTATTCTAAACGTCAACCCGCAACCAGAACTGTTAACAGGTGTCACAGCCATCAACCAAAGCTGAAAAGTAGGTCTGCTGACTTTTGAGAAATCTACGAAGAATTTTTGCTGTTTATTTTTTAATGTTACATTTTTTCTGCCACTGGCTATTCCTGCTTCTCACTCAGAATAGTACCTTTTTTATTTTATTTTTCGAGTGTAGCAGCATCTTATCACCTCATGTGCATGACATTCCGTTTACAGCAGAGGAAAGAAAACTGTGCTTCCTACCAGATATTACAGTGAAAAAAAATTCTTATTATTTCTTATGCTTCTATATTTATGATGCTTTATAGCTTTGTTTAGTTTAATTTAAGAGGAAATAGCCCCAAAAACCACTAATGCTGCAAATGATCACAAAGCTTGGGCTGTGAAGTTTGGTCAAAAAGAAAAGTAAAAATAGATATATTTAAAAAAAAAGAGTGTCCCACAAGGATGCTGTGCTACTAACCAACCACATCAACATGACTTCAGAAGCAGTGAACACTCACTAACATCTAACTAACAACCGCATCTGCCTTCTTTGATAGACGCCTCACTGCCTGTGAGGACACTGCAAACACATTAAGTTATTCCAGTTCGACATGCCGTTTTGATTTGGTCAGACTACTCTGTTCTCCTTCATGCTCGTTCCTACTCTTTCACTCCATAAAGAGCATCCGAAGACGGCTCTTAAACACATATCAGATCATCCAGCCGTGAGGCTTTAAATCAAGCTGAACTCCATAGGTACAGAACATGACCAGAGGAATGTACACTACTGCAGTATTGCATGGCTTTTGGAAGTGCGTAAAATTTCATATTCACGTTCCAATCACACTCTTTGCCTCGTTCTTAGTAATATGCAAAATGCCTTAACCATGCAAGGTAAGAAAATTTTAAGTGGCTTATGTGAGCTTATTATCAACGTATATGGTAGCTATATCCAAGTTATGGGTTATAGTTAATAGCAGTTGCAGATATATTTTAAGGAGTCAAGTCTGTTTGAATAGCCAGAGGTGCCTGATATGGTTAGAACTTGTATAGTAAGAAGCACCTGATGTAGTTTACAGAGAATGAGATTAGAATGAACGTGAGAGCTCATTGGAGACAAGCGGTGATTGTAGAGCAGAAGAATTCTTGGTGAAGTGGACGAAGGCAAATGCATCATCCTAGAATGCATCGTTCAGGTGCAGATCAGTCTTCAGCAAGGTGTGTAACTGCTGAGTACATGTGCCTCACTTACGAAATCCGATCCAGCATCCTCACATGCTGTTTTCTGGCTCAAATAGAATAGAGCATCCCAGTCTAAAAATGCATGAGGCAAAAGATTGCAATGATTAGATGTTCAAATATAACCACATGCACTCAGAACAGTGAGATCTAGGTTCAAGGCTGTTTTAACCTTTCCCCAAACATATGTGATCAGCCAAGACGTTTGGTGTCCGAAGTTTGCTTCTATAATGTCACTCAAAAAGACTTTTCAGCAGTGATGCTCATAACAAATCATTTGAATTGCTCAGCTGGAATCACATATCATTTACCGCCAGACACAAAAAAGTGAAACTTCGGTAAGATTAAAAAAGGGTCGTAATACCAAAATGTCAACAATGAATCTATCACATATTCAAAAACACTTTCCCAAACGATATTGACAAAAATGCAAAAAATCTCATTCATAAAGCTTTAATTTCATGTTAATTTCAGCGCTTTGTCAATTATTGTTTACAGAATCAGCAGGCCGCAAGTCATTCTGATTGGAGCAAGCTGAATCCAGTACGTGATAACGTAAGGCTTCCAAAAGAATTGAAATTTTCAAGATTGTTCAAACAGTCTAGCCAGTCAACTAAAGAAGCAAATGTTGATCACCAAACACGTCTTGGCAGACTTGATTGTGAGGCATTCCAAGTTTAGGCTAACTAAAGCTTGATTTTAACGCTACAGCAATTCATTTCATTCAGCATTTCATAAGCTACTTTGATTGCTTTTGCTCTTGCAAAAACAATGACATGACTGAATTGAAATGACCGATACACTCAAAGCCTGCATAGACCACTTTGTCTGTGGTACCACCCTACATGTGGGCCCTCCATGTCCTTCATTCTACAAGAGCCAGTGCGTAGATGAGTGTGAACACTAGGGCCCATTCAGACAAGTGTTTTAAGTGAGTGTTGCATCACCAATTATGAGGTCCGTAGGCCTGTTCTAGAGAGCCATCTAGTGGCCCGTTTGTGGTCTGACAAGAGAAAACTGTTGTGGTTGTAATCTGAACCTGTCTGTAAAACTAGATTTATGTGAGGTTTATTACATACTTCCCTTTCTATGGCATAGCTGGCACAGTAACTTTCTAAAGACAATAAAACGATGCCAAAGTATGTGTATACCAATGCATTATTAAGAGAGAAGGCGGTTATGCCTTGCACCTCGTAAAATGCAGCCACACACTTTTCTGTGTCAACCGTAAGCAAGCATTTGAACCATGCAACTAATAAAAGAGAGAGACTTCATACCAAACAAGACTGAATGTTACGTAAAGGGATCTAAATGCTGAGCTACTGTTTCTCTTGACACAAGGCATCAACAGGATATTATTTGATTATTGATTATTTATGTGGCTTACCATCAATGGCTGAGCAAGTGAAGGAGCATTAAACTACACTATTTTCAAAACAATGACTTTTTCTTCAGTTCTGGTGTGTTTGAGAAATACACATCACATTTACATATGGTTTACAATTACTATGGCTTACAAAAGTATGTGGACACATAACCATCCCATTCCAAAACCATGTGTCTGTGAGAACGTGTTCCCGTTCAGTCAAAATGTAATCAAAATATCAAAGTTCTGATTCATCCCAAAGGTATTCAGTGAGGTTGAAGTCAAAACTCCTGCAGGCCACTGGAGTTCCTCCACTCTAAACTTGTTAACCATGTCTTTATTGACCTTGCTTTGTGCACATGGGCAGTCACGCTGGAACAGGTAAAGGGTGTTGATGCCAAAAAGTTGGAAGCATGTAACTGTCTGAACTGTCTTTGTATGCTGTAACATTAACATTAGCCTTCACTGGGACTAAGGGGCCCAAAGCCTGAAAAACAGCCAGACCATTATCCCTCCTCCACCAAACTTGGTTGGCACTACACACTCCAGTAGGTAGCGTTCTCCTGGCTTTCGCCAATCCCATTTTTGTCCATCAGAATGCCAGATAGTGAAGCGCGATTCATTCAGAAAATGTTTTCAATGCTCCATTGTCTAATAGCAGTGTGTTTTACAGCGCTCCAGCCAACACTTGGCATGTATATAGTGATCTTAGACTTGTGAGCAGCTGCTCAGCCATGGAAACCCATATCAAGAACATCCTGAGGCACAGTTCTTGTGTTGATTTTGCTCCAAGTGGCAGTCTGGAACTCTGTAGTGAACAATGCAACAAAGAACAGGCTTTTTTTCCGCAGTACCTGCTTTAGTACTCACCGGCCCTACTTTGTGAGTTTGTGTCGTCTACGGCTTTATGGCTGAACTGTTGTTGCTTCTAAACATTTGCACTTCACAATAATAGTACTGACAGCTGACCAGGGCAAAAAATTCACAAACTGACTTGTGGCAAAGACTGATCAGTACAATCCAATGTTTGTCCATAAAGATTGCATGGCTATGTCCTTGATTGTATACACCTGTTAGCAATGTGTCAAACACCTGAACCGAATAATTAAGAGGGGTGTCCACATACTTTTAATCATATAGTGTAAGCAAACACTGTAGTTTGATAATTACAGATTACAGCCCATCTGTTTCTCTGTAAAATTTGTTTGTCCCCTTTTTTGCCATGTTTATCAATAGGACCCCCACTGTGCAAGCACTACTCAAATGGTGGTTCGTTCTCAGCACTAAAGTGACACTGACGTGGTAGCGGCATCTTAGTATAAGTGGTTTACACATACAGCAGTGTTACTTGAGCTTTCAAACAGGTCAGGGTCACTGAGAACAGACCACCAACCAAAAATACACCAACAAAAGCATCCCATAGCCAGAAACTGACCACTGAAGACATAATGATCAACACAAACCATAAAACGACGGATGAGTTATCATCTCTGACTTTATGTCTACAAGATGGACAAACAAGGTTGGTGTGTCTAATAGAGTGGACGGTAAGTGTGGACAAGTGTGTCCACACTTACCAGCACTGTTGTGTCTGATCAACCTGTCCCTGCTCAGAGATGGTCCTGACTTTGATGAAAGGGGTAAAAGGGGGCTAACAAAGTATGCAGAGAAACAGATGGACTACATTCTGTAATTGTAGATAGACAGAATGCATCTATATGGTGAAGGGACCTGAGAAAATGGTCAATGAGTGTACAAGGTAGACGTACCTAATAAAGCGACCAATAAGTGTACATGTGACAATTTCCCATTAGGGTTATTTGACAGTCACTACATGAAGCGGACTTGTAAAACTTGATGTGAAACTGAATTCAAAACATAAAAACAGAGTTCCAAACAAGAAACGATATGCAGATAAATTTATTGACACTGATTGCCCCAATCAATAATCATATAAAATCTAAATCAATAAGCAAAATGAAGACAAACTAAAAGTTGACAAGTTCTGAAAAGAAAACATTACATGTACACTGTGGTTACCAACTGTTAAATGGAACTCTAGATTCAGTATGTAAGAAACACTACATTTGTTTATTCACATTGTGTAACACTTAATAAAAGAAAACTGGGTGGTTTCGCATTTCGCAACACGGTCTGGATGATGTCCCATACTTCTATTTTCCCCATATGTGACTAAGTGAGATCCAGGATATTGATATTAGGTGATTTCAGGACAAAAGGATGCACCTCAGGCATTGGGACCACGCAGTCTTCCATGACTTCCGACCCCATATAATGAACTACTGATTTGCTGCTTCACAAGCATCTATCCAATCACTATACACATCCACTGGCTCTGAGAGATCTAGAGCAGAGGTTAAGGAAAAATTTTGCTCATTCATGCTTACTATTAATGTACTATAAGTTACTGTTAATGACAAAAATGCCAGAACATGTACTGCATTACAGCATGAACTAAATGCAGTTATTCAATGAAGAAAATAATTTTATGTTGATAGAAAGGATACAGGTAATGGGTGTCTGGAACTCCTCCAAGCACACAGAACAAGATATTATTCCCGTGTTCCGACTTCTCTCCCTAAAAGTGAACAAAAACAATGTCATTGCAGTACATGCATTCCCATTAACTGCTACAATGAGCACAACTATGTCTGGTTTATCAGACCCAGAATAAGCCTTAGCATAGAATAGACAGGATTCTTCACAGTGAAACATAATTGGTATTACAATTTCATCCAAAACCAGAATTAACCTTTGTCCAGGCAACCAGCCCCTAGTGTTTAGCTATGGAGTTGCTTAAAGCTATGGCACCTAGTGTCAATGTCTTTTTTCCCAAAACCTTTCAGTTACGTATTGAACTGTAAGAGATTTAGCCAGTCGTGGATCTAAATGTCAGGTATGTATTTCAAGTATTGTATTATGGAGAACTGCCTGGGTTACTTTCACTGGAGGTTATGAGTTTGGCTCCTACATTCATTCACAGAAATAATCAGTTTAGCTATATATGGTATCAATGGCAAATTTCATCTACATAAAGGTCCAGTAATAATGAGAATCCCAAATATCCAATGCAACATGTTCTCACTAACCAGCCAGAACTTGTTGTGAATTAGAAATCCTTCTTTTCTGCACTTCTGGGCTCATATTCCTGAGCTGTGTCGTTAATATTAATACTTAGCATTACTGAAGCATAAAAATACCAACAGAAATGCCTTAGCGGTGCAGGTGGGCAATATGACACCATATAACAATATCGTGATAAATTATGTGCCATTACGACACAATATGCTTTCCTTAGCATATCATGGATATTGTCAGTACTTTAAGAACACTGACCATCTGCAGGTTTCATTACAAAGAGAGCATAATTAGTTTAATCTGAGTGCAGTATGTGAAATGTGGATTTTACAGTTTTTAAACAGCAATTTTTAAATGTGGCATTACAGGTTCTTTATGCTGGTTTCAACTAATCGAATCTCAGGGAAACTAAACATTGTGATAATGTATTATGGATCAGAAAATATGGAGGGGAATTCGCGCCAGATTGACAAGCCATCGCCACAGTGGGAAAAAACGTGAAATGCAATGCACACAACAATACTTTTCTATAGTGACGTGAAAAACAATGCATGAGGATTGACAGTTTAAAAATGAAAAGCTGAATTCATTTCATAATATAGAAGACCTTGAAATGTAACAAAGGCACGGCTATCTTTCCATTTTGGATTATTTTCTGCATGTTACTGTTTAAATGCAGTCTCATATGCACATTGCATTTCACGGTTTTGGTTGCATTTCAATGAGTCAAACTGATTTGAATGACCAAAAAAGAAGTCAAGCGACATGAAAACATTTTGGCATGTATTCTGCATGTCATCTACGGAAAAATAATGTCATGTGTGCACTGCATTTTATGGTTTTCACTGTTATGTGTCGCATATCAATGAGGCAAACCTGCACAGTAGAAAAAAATATAGCTGTGCAAAATTGTATTCTATTTGAACATGAATTCAGCATTTCATTTTTAAAATGCAAGTCTTTGTGCATTGTTTTTCAGTAAAGAAGTCAAGCGATGTGAAAACAACGTAATCGATCAGAGGTGTACAACCTAATCCTCAAAGGGCCGATGTGGTTGCAGGTTTAAACAAGTGGGGCCAGGTGTGCTCCAACTTGTTTGGAGTGAAAACATGCAGCCATACCGGCCTTTTCTGGATAAGACTGGATACTCCTGTACTAGAGGGTTTGTTTTTCATTTTTCTACAGGTTACTATGGAAAAGTAATGTCATGTGTACATTGCATTTCACGTTTTTCCAACGTACTGATTGTTTTTTCAATTTGGCACGAGTTCCTCTGCATATAAATATGTCTTCATATTGTTACATTTTTTCTGCATTGTCCACCTCCACTTACAGGCCTACACAACAGCAAGCTACATTTGTACACGGTGACCGACCTCTTTAAAAACGAGGAAGAGGAGTTAATTAGCTAGCTTGCTTTCAGTAAATAGGTGCAGTTCTGTTCTTACATTTTAACATCGCAGGACTTCTCGTGGTTACAGAAAGGGCAGGTGAACTGAGTGTCCAGGTTCCCAGTCATTTTCTTCTTAGGAGGAGGCTTTCGCTTCGACTTTCTGCGAGCCATCTCTACCAAATGAGTCTGCAGAGAGAAATACGCAAAACATACAACATAACATTCACAAAGAGCCAACAGAGCTAACGACTTTACATACTCATACATCAGACAACATCTATTGTTTAGCTAACAAATACGTACTATAAGTTATAATCTCTTACCTAAACGACAGTTACAGAGTTACAGACGAAAAATATCGTTTATAGAACTTCACCAGCTAGCTGCTCTTACAACGGCCCTGAACAGAAGTTACCTGTTCAGACAGCTGTTAGCCAGATAAATACATTAAGAAAAGATCTGCCACTGGCTAGTTTGTACGCTTACTTTAAGTGTGATTCGTACGTTGTTTACATTAGTTCGCTAAATTACACATTCTTGTTCTTACGTGATAAGTAAACAGGTCACGCTTTGCTAAGTCGCTAAAGCTAACGTTACCCAACGGCGATGCAGAAGGCGCTGCAGATCTCACTCAGGCCGCGCTAACGCGAGCCAGCCAGACAGCTAAATTCGTCAAACCAGCTTTACACGTGTTTTTATCGTAAGCTGTAGTTCGTTAAGTTAAATGTGATCTGATTTAATGCCTTACTGTGTGAGCAAGAAATCCAAATAGCGCCGACCGCGGTTGGGGAACAACAACACCGAGTAAACAGAAAACAGCGAGCGAGGGAAACGTGGAGTGCCGTGGAGCGGCGCGCTACTGCCACCTGGCGGAAACAGCGGTGAACTACAGAGAAACTTTCAAGTAACAATGAGAATGCAGCCTGTTTTTCTCTGACGACAAACTTGTTCATGTGATTCATGTGTGAACAAAAATACATTTGTGATTGCTGTAAGTTACTAACTAGCAATCTGCTGCCATCTATCGCTTTGGCCTATTTTAGGGTGTCTTTGAACACAAATGAAGCAGAAATCAAATGGAGGTTAGTAGTCCATATTTATAAAGTAGGCTACTTTACTATTGCCAGTAATGGCCATTTGTACAGTGATAAATGATTACTCGGCCTTGATGGAGTGTTCGTTGTACCTGACTTCATATTCCGACTGTAAATGGGGGTTTCTGTTGTGATGCCCCTGGGTGGGAAACTATATTTTTTTTTCAGTAAAACGCATATCACATAAAAGAAGTGAATTCCACTGATTTTCAAAATGTCTGCATAATTAAATAGGTAAGATAAAAACACAATATGCAATTAGACATGGAACCTGAATAAGTTGCATTTTAAAAGCTACGTCACAGAAAGCTACATGAAGTGGTTACGAATGCTGCCTGATGTCTGACATATTTTTAATATAGTTCTGAGATAAGGTTTTGGCCTAAACGTATATTTCATCCCAGGTTCCTATCACCACTATTGCAAAGAAATCTGAGTTAGTTTCTCTACAAAGACCCATTTGACATCAAAACACTCTGACTTTGTTTACATATCAACTATTCAATTAGGCAATCCTTTTGAGAATTCGATGGAATTCCACTTTTAAAGCAGCACATTTTTGAGTTACAGTCTTAAAGAACTACTTTTTATTAAAAACCGAATTTTTGCAATGAAAGTCTAAGACATCGTTAACGTTTCGTAAACGTGCCGCTCGCGCAAACAGTCCATGTAATGAAAATAAGCTGCAAATACAGCCGGTTATGAACTCATCGTTTTGTAGTAGTTTTGTATAACTATAAACGTGCAGCAGTTTAGCCCCGCCCATCCACGCTTAAGTTATAGAGTGCTTCGGCCCGGACTGTTTTATGAACGCACACAACACAGGACCACAGATCAGTCTGTTTAGTTAAAGTGTTTTTTTAATTCTAAGTTCTGTATGAAAGGTACGGAGCCCCGGAGGGGACGGGAAAAAAATAATTAATTCGAGCGAACGTGTTGCAGTTCGTACGCACGTTTTCCTTTGTTCGTGGTTTTCTTTTAAACGTGCGCACGTTTTCTTTACTTCGTGGGTACGTTTTTTTTATTCGTGATCACGATTTTCTAATTCGTTCTCTCGTTTTCTTTTAATCGTTGTCATGCTTTATTTTTAACTGAACGCACGTTGTTTATTTTTTTGATTCGTGCGCAAAATCAGTGTTGTAGATACAGGTCGTGTTTTTTGTCTGGTGCAGAAGTAAATAACAGCTCCCTGACACTGTCTGACGGGTTTTGATGAGTTAGATTGATAAGATAAAGGACAGAGATGCTCATCAGGTCTGATTTTGATTTGGGCCGTTATGAGGAAACTGCAGCTCCTCTTCACAACAAACGGCCCACAGATTCATCAGTGCAGCTGCAGTTTGGTGGTGAAACGAAGGAAGACAAACTACAACCACAATCTTCACTAAACTGCGCTGTCTAATGATCATATTTAACAGAGATATAGACGCTTAGCGCTGTTTCTGCTCCCGCAACAAGCTGCGGTGTTCGAGATCATCACACAATTACAGGAAGAAATGATCAGCGTCAACTTTTCAACAAACTCAAATTAAACACACACAGAAACGTTCATGTGGGATGAGGTCAAATGGCAAGAAAGAGTTTAATAGATCTATGGATTAGATGTTGATATATTAATGTGAGGATGTTGAAACGCTGATCATTTCGTCTTGTAATTGTTTGATGGTCTCTAACACCGCAGCTTGACCGGGAGCAGAAACACCGTGGGTCTTTTGCTGTGAAGAGGAGCTGCAGTTTCCTCATAACCCCCCAAATCAGAATCAGACCTGATGAGCATCTCTGTTCATTATCATTCTAACTCATCAAAACCCGTCAGACAGTCTCGGGGAGCTGTTATCAAAACACAAACAACGAGCGTTCAGTTAAAAATAAAACATGACCACGGTTAAAAGAAAACGAGGGAACGATTGAAGAAATCGTGACCACGAATAAGAGAAAACGTGCGTACGAACTACAAAACCTTCGCTCGAATTATTTTTTTTTTTTTACCTCCGTCCCCTCCGGGGCTCAGTAGAAAGGAGCAGCTCAAATGGAAACGTAAAATCAGTCAAGACTGTTTTTGGCAGGGGTAGCCAGAACTTTTAGAATAGAGAAGTCAGGTAAGACCCAGAGATTTTATCAGAGTGGCACACTCCTAGCAAAAAAGCTAAATAAAATAGTGTCACTGTTTTAAAATTTCATAATAAAGTGATACATTGTTTTTACTCTGTACATAAATAAATTTGTCCATCATTTCCACAGAAATAAAACAGTACATCAGTACAAGTATTTCTGAAAATAAACTGAAAGGCAAACATATTTTAGTAAGCTATAAGGAGCATGTGAATCAAATAAATTAAATATACAAAAAGAACAACATTTCACATAGACAGACCATAGAAGTTACTCATTTAGGCTGCCCTCGCGACAGGTTATACATGAGTCTAACAAAATGCATTGATGCATTGTTTTTTACTCTACATAAATAAATTTGTCCATCATTTCCACTGAAATAAAATAGTACATCAATACAATTATTGTCTAGCTACTCAGACAACACTGTATAAAGCTGGCCTAACGTAGTACACATGCACATATTAATCTGTACAAAAATAAACGCTTACAGTTCACTTAAGAAGTAACCCATCTTACCATCACATAGCTTACTTTATAATGTAGCGCACAGAGCAGCACTGCTAAAGGGTGACCATTCAGTGCACATTCCCTCCCTAGTTTGCACAGCCTATCACAGCCAGATGGCAAGATACTCTTAACTACTAAATGCAGCGTTATCATACTCTTATAACTGAGTGGTAACCGCCCTGTAGCAGATTTTAACCATAAGCATACCTGATGGTTTATTGATGATGGTTGACTGCCTCACTTTCCAAAACTGGGGTGACCAAAAGCATGGCCATATTTCAGTCTAGGATGGCACTGGCCACCCCTTGGCTACACTTCTGAATAAAGACCCTTTAAAAACACGCTTTATGTTTTATACTGTGTGGACAATATATCAAACATGAATGAGGAAAAACTGTTGTTGCATTTTATTTTAGTAGTAATCTTCATGAGAAGATGAGATGAGCTGCCACATCCCTTGCAGTTCATTTTCTTCTAGACGGAAAACATTCACACTGAATTAGCAATCACAGTGTTCACAAGTCGTAGTCTAAGCAAAATATGTACAGCAAGCATTTTTATGTGTAAAATAAGAGAAAACAGAGCATGGAATCATTTTATGAAAATACCTGGCAGTTATGTCAACTGGCGCTTTGGCTTTTGCTGTCAAGTGTTGGGTATTTAAGCGTTCATCTGAGTCTGAGTTGGGCAGCAAAGGCCTTGGGATTGTTTTCATCCCACAACCTGGTACAGAACGTTTAAATATTATTGGTTACATGTCAAACATATTTTAACAGTGAGTGACTGATATGTCAATCATACTTTGTTTTGTTTTTTCTTGTTTGCATTCAAACTGATTACAATATTGCTAAAGAATAAAATAGATTTTTTATAACAGAGTAGAACCATTTAACCAGGTAAAGAACCATTTATGCATTCGAATGGTTATACATTTGAACATTTATTGTTTTATATGTAACCAATGTCTTTAATAAAGGACCCTTAAAAACACTATTTAAGGGTATATATTTGTTTTGTTACTCTCAATGTCCAGGAAATACAATGACATATACAGACTCTAAAATCCTACCTGTTTTCTTTGGAGCTTTTCCTTTGGATATGACTAGATTCTGAAGCTTGGTCTGGATTTCTGACACATTAGACCTGAGTTGGAATATAAAGTTTATTAAAACTCGCAAATCCAACATGACCAAAGACTTTCTATCATTTGAGAACTGTCTTTCTGTGTATAGTATTGTATAAAAGTCAGAAACTTTTTTTTGACTGGGAATATTAATTTCCATTCAAAAGTGTGTCCACCCTTTGCCTTTTGCCTTACAGTTTCCATTCTTTTTATGACACTTGCTTTCAGTTTTTTGGATAAAATTTTCCACACCTCCAAAGTTCAGTCTTAGTTGCTTGCATTATCTGCTTCTCCTGTTATAAGTAATCTTAAACACTTTCAGTGATGTTGAGGTCTGGACTCTGGGGTGGTCAGTCCATTGTTCTAAGAACAGCAGCAGCTTCTTTGTTTTGTTTGCAAATTTTCTTCTCTTCTCAGTAGGCTTTATCACACTGAGCACTTTATTGAAATTGTATTAATTTCTGAAAGGAATACTGCCATGGTTGTCCTTAAAGTGACAGTTCAACAAAAAAGTCTAATTTGCACAATTTACAATTTCAGCCAGGGCACGTTTGACATTCATAGTTTGCTTCTTTTGTTTCTTCTTTAGTAATCTGGCCTTTGTAGGGTTTTACAGTCCAAAAGTCTGAGACAACTTTGTAAATCTAGGATTGATTTCATTTAATCTTGCAAATAAACAACAGAAAGTTTTAGAATTTGGAAAAATGAAAACAAAGTTATGACAAGTAAAATAAAAAAGAAATATGGAATATTATCCACTAGTTCTAGGTCACTATTCAAATTTATGCAAATTCACAAAAATGGTTTGTTAAGCCCGTTATCCGAAAAGGTCTGATTTTTAAAATCTTTTTCCTTCTATTGAAGCTTGTGTGTAGGCGACTCTCTGGTGGATTTAATCTACTTATAAGAGGCTTTTGTCACTGTCAGTGATTAGAGTCTGTGCCAGCTTGAATGGACCCTGTCTGTAAAGCAAAAGAAATATACTAAGACTAACACTAGGAAATTCGTGTTAATATTGAAATACTCTTCTCTGCGCTCAAACTGTTATGCTGATAATATGAGTTGTAATGAAAAAACTTTGTATCAAATTAGAAAAGAAAAACAGAAGCATTTTCACTAGTGGTTTCAGACTTTTGGTCCCTATTGTATCAGTCCTTCACCCTATACCTGACTCTAACTGCATCATGCTGCCTCAGTAGCTTCTGTATGCTGATTTCCTGTGATTGGCAAGTGTCAATCAACCTCTCAATGCTCTACAAAAACACACAAAGCAAAATCATCTTCCTATTAATATGCTTAAGTATACTTAAGATTGTACCTATTATATGCATTATATGTTGAAGGGTTGATTCAACCATAAATCAAATTGACACAATTTATACACCTTTAGCCTAAATACAGCCAAACAGCCAAGATATGTTTGATATGTGAAGTTTGCTTCTGTAGTCTTAGAAGTTTGGCACTGTGTTTTCTATAAAAACAGACGTACAGAAATAATCCAAGCTTCAAGGTGTCTGCTTCTACTGTTTTAGCTCTGTGAACTTTTCCCATTTCTTAGGTAACATTAAGTCTGACATTGTCAGAGATCATATAAGCAACTATGGTTGAGATTGCTTAACAAAGTACTTTGCATGATACCAAACCGGTGGCTATAAGCCTCCATTATTGGTTTGCCTTGTAACTCCAGCGCAAAGCTAAAGAAGCAAACTCGAACAACACCCAATATGTTTTAGCCAATATAACACCCAATATAAAGAAAATGTAGGCGTGACCCAAGTGTCTACAACAGGCCTACCATGTCTTTGCAGTGTGACTCAGTCAGTCTCTTCAGGATGTCCTCCCTGTGAAGTTCTGAAGGCAAAGCAACATGTCAGATTCCCCTCACATCATCTTTTGATAACATTTGGGACAGTAGGTTTGGTAAGACCTGTGTACTTAAAGCAAGTATACTTGTAGTAAGTCAGCTAAGATACGTTTGGTGTCTGTGAACTATAAAAATGAACAAAACTTCACTTTGTAGCTGAACACTGAAAGCAGTATTAATAGAAAAAAGTTGACTGTGACTGTTGACAAAAATGTCTTGGTTGATCAACTACTTCTGAGGGAAAATTGTAGAAATTAGATTTTTCAATGAACAGTTCTTTTAAGGCTTCAGAGACGCTCTGCTGTCAAAGCACACTAGATTCAACAGGGTTGTGGTGAGGAGAAAATGGTTATATTTAAGTGGCAAAAAAGTAGGAAATCTAAACTTGCTGAGTTGGACTTGGATTCTGTGAACTGCTTTCCTCAGCTCTCCAATCTGCTCCCACAGGATTCTCCGACTACGTGGTTGAGAGAGAAACATGTAGTCACTAACTGGTCAATAGCATGACATTTACAAACACAAAAGCTTTTCTTAACTAGTGGTTTAAAAACACATCTGAAGTTGCCAGTCTATCTGCACTGATTTTATTAGAATCAAAGGCAGAGCGAAATTTTTATGCTATTATATACAGGTCCAAAAAAGCTTGATGTATTGTCCTATGATCTGTATTCCACTACTGTGTAAAAAATTCAACAGTCAGTGCAATTGAAAATAATTGTGGTGAAATTTGAGATTTTATGAGGTGTAAATTGCTTCCTAAAGAATCATAATTACATCAGATTGTTAGAGATTTACACCCCACTCTAGAGTTGTTCAATCCTGGTTCTGGGGATCTATCACCCTGAAAAGTTCAGCTCCAACATAACTGGCTGTAATCATCAGATACTCCTGAAGGCATTCATTACCTGGATCAGATGTATTAGATTAGAGTAGGATCGAAACTCTGCAGGGAGATCTTCAGGACCAGGATTGGGTACCCTGGTATAAGGTTTGGGTTAAATATAGCAAACAACACACAAGTATACTTTAAACGGCCTACCTGTGATAGAGCTCCTGGGAGATGTGGTTGATGGCGGCCTGGTTGCGGAGTTTGGTGGGGTGAAGACTAGAGCAGGAAGTTGAGGGACAGCAGGGGCCGAGCCCAGGCCAAGGCAATAGGAGGCTCCGCAGGTAATGAAGCTCAGTGGTCACCTCAAATCGAAGGGCTTCAAAACGCTTCTCCAGGTTCTGGCCCTTCAGCTGCCTGGCCATGTCGTATAGCCCAGCTGGGACATACAAAAGACAGTGGTACCATGGATTTATGGCATATGTTTAGGTTATTAGGGGAAGATGAATCAGTTTGTGCTTCACAGACCTTGGAGATGTGAGAGAGCACTGACTGTCTGACTTCTCTCTGCTTCCAGTACAGCTATGGTTTTACTCAAAGAATCAATGACCTGAAATACACATTTTCAGGCAATCTTTTAAAAATCTTTTTGAAGATATCAGCACATTTGTTGCTTTAGTTTTCATTAAGCCCATGGTACATCAATACCTTTGCTTGAAGGTCTATCTCTGCCCTTAGTCTCTCAATGTCACAATGGGCAGTTTGCTTAGATTCACCTTTTGAAGCAATAAATGAATAATATAATATAGCTTCATGTAATATATTTATTCCAACTATATATAGTACATAACTGTACAAAATAATAAAAAAGACCTCTACCATCACAAGCAGGAGTAGTATCCATACTCTGTAACAGAAAAGCATATAACTACATTAGTTGTCATTCACAGTTAAAGGAGGATTCTGAGTTTTCAAAATGTCTGCATAATTGAATTAATGATATGTAATCAAAGTCATTCATAGTGTTTTGATGTCTACTGGTGCATTATAGAGAAACGTACTGACTTGATTTTCAAGTGGGGTCACTATGTGTACAACAAATATGTAGCCATTTTATTGAGTGTCGCAAAGTTGATCATGGTAAAATAGTGCTATTCACCTTGAATGGATTTTTGAAAATATGTTTTTGATACACCAAAAAAGCCAAAACCTAATTTATCCATAGAACAATGTCTCAGGCACCAGGCAATGTATTTGTAACCAGTTTGTGTAATAGTTTTCTATGAGGTAGCTTTTAGAGGAATTAGGAAACTATTCAGACCTATCCCCACCACTGTGAACTATTCTGACTGGTTTCTCTATAATGGCGCATTTCCCATCAAACCAATCTGGATAATTTCATTCGCAGACAGTTAGAACAATAGGTGGAATTCCCCCTTAAACAAAGATCTTGATTATCTGAACTCACTGTATCTCCATCGTCATCCATTTTCTTTAGTTCAGTTGGTAACTTGGAGTAATGAGATAAAAGGAAACAACTCAAGAAACTAACAACTGAACAGATTATGACATTTTCCCGATGTCACAATTGAAGGCGGTGCATAAGACACTGTTCGGTTCTTCTTGGCTTTGATTGGATAAAATGTCACAGATGTATTTGAAAAAGAATATGATTCGCGGGTTTGACTTTGTGGGCGTGACAACACAAGAGGGCGTGTTTGGGTAATGAGGAAAATGCCTGTTCGCCAAAACATCAAGTTCGAAGATTAAAATCCGAAACCTAGAGCCGCCGACTTAAAGAATCAAACAGGTATGTGTTTAGAGAGGTTCATTTTTGATGTATGGCTTCAATAAATAATCAGGCAGTGTGGGTTGAGTAACACCAAGGTCCTGTTTATTATCGGTTTCATAACGTTGGAAATTGCTCTGCACCCTCGCTGAAGTTCGATAAGGACGTTAATGTGACGCGATAGACTCGATACAACAGTAACACTGTTTAAAGCGCATGCGGGTGAAGGTTGCTAGCATATATCACATTAGCTACAATAGAGCTGTGATATAGAAGCTGCTGTCAGACATAAAGGCTTCGATGGCTTAGCTGAGCTGCGAGCCTGTATGTTGAACTCCGAGGGTAACTGTTAGCTTAACGTTACATATTGACATAAGCGACGACACAGGCCTTTTTCTGTTATCAGGGCTAAACACTCGGCTTATCTTCGCTGAATGACTCCTGCAGTTCGGTTTTTTTTCTTAAGCTCCCTGCAATACAATAAAAACCTGTAGTTTTACTGTGAAATAACTGTTGATAAATGATTCAAGCTGTCAGCAGTTCACTAAATGACATATTGGCGACCAAACGGTGCGTAAGCTCTTGTAAACTCAGCACACTTGTATTGATTAACGTGTTTCCCTTAAAGGGGAATTCCACCGATTTTTAAAAATGTCTGTATAATTCAGGCATTGAGATGTGAACAAAGTCATTCAGAGGGGATTTAATGTGAAATGAGTAATTGTAGAGAAACTTGCCAAGTTAGATTTCTTCACAGTGGTGGTGATGGGAACCAGGGGGTCACGTTGTGCCCAAAGCAGAAATTGCCATTTTATTTACTATCCAAAATGGCCACTGAACCTACACGTCTTCTAAGTTTTATATATGCATGTTGGTAAAATAGTGGTAACCCTGCCAAAATAAGTTTTCCTTGTGGACTATTTTGCCTCACAACACCCGACATGTACTCCTCCACCATCAATGGCTTTTAAAAAAATTTTTTTTTTTTAAGTTTTTGGCCAAATCATTTCCTCAAAACTGTAGTAAGACAATGTCTGAGACATCAGGCAGCGTATTTGTTACCATATAATGTTGTAACTTTCTGTAAGTGAGCTTTTAGAGGCACTGAAGGCCACAGATGTCTGGTTCCTCTGGTTTGTTTACATCTTAACCATTCAGTTATGCACAAAGTCTGAAAAATCAATGGAATTTCTTAAGCATAAAATGCTGTGTATGCTTGGGTTGGATTTTGCTAATTAGTTTCTACTTCAGGAGCTGGTAGCATCCACATTTCAGAGGGTCCACATCTGTACTGTTGACAGCTACTGTAAGACTATTAGCTGTAATCTATTGACTTATATTCAGGTCACTGTTTCACAGGAGACTGCCATGGCCACTGAGGGGGACCCAACAGACCTGGTGAAGGTGCTTCACCTACTGGTGATTGCTTTCTCCTGGGGGATGCAGGTGTGGGTGTCGTTTATTGCAGGTAATGCCCTTTCCTCTCCCACAGTGCTTCTCACGACAGCTCCTCACTGGTGAGGCCATTCACGTCCATGTCATGTGATTCTTTATTTTTTTGTCTTGGTTTCCTTCAGGGTTTGTGCTGGTGTCCCGGGTACCTTTGCACACATTTGGCCTGGTGCAAAGTAAGCTCTTCCCCTGGTATTTCTACTGCCTGCTGGGCAGTAACGCAGTCAGTCTGGCAATATATGCTGTGTACCATCCCAGGGAGCTGCTAGACTGGCATGAGTCTATACAGGTGAGCTCTGTCCATACACTAGGGCTGCACCTAGTATTTTTTATAACTAATTAATCCAAAGACTATTGATTTGAGTTATCAAACCAGTAACCTCTTATTTTGTACCTGTCACAGCAGAGTCATCATTCATAGTACTGTGCAACAAGTGATTTCTTCTTTTATGGTGCAACAAAACAATCAAAACCATAGTTCCCCCAACACTTCCTGTGATTCATAGGTTACCAGCCCCTGTCCGGGGCTATGTTCAAAATAGCATACTGCAGTGTTTCCCATATATAGCCTGTACTTGGGCAGCCCCCAAGTTTATATTTAACAAATGGCAAAATATTGTTATGCATACAATATCAGCTGCTTGTGCTTGTTACAAGATAATGTACAACTTAACTAAGTTCTCTGTAATACTATATTTGTACTGTATAATTTGTACTGCATTTTTCTCCTTATACATATGCAGTGCATTATCCAGTATACCAAAATTACCATCATGAACCATGTACAGGGCAGGGGTGTGAGTAGACTCTACCGACCCAGGGGGCTGAGACTAATCCCAAGACCCATCTCATTTTCTTAACCCTCCAACCACTTTTTAGCCTCCATTGCAAGCTGATTTTACTTGTGTCATGGAATGCAGTATATAATAAAGATAGCTCTGGATGCATACTGGAATATTTGGCCAGAGTAGTACAACATCCAAGTATGTTTGGCATGCTGGAGAATTTCATATTTGTCACATACTACATACTGTTTACTCCTTTAGAGCACAATCAGTACTTGAGCAGTATGTAGTAGGCTGTTGAGACACAGCCCTAGGGTACCCCCTGTCTTGCGCTTCAACTGAGGAAGAGCTTGTTGATTAGCTCGATTAGTTAGAATCAGGTGTGTTGAGGCAGGGAAATCAGGTGTGTTGAGGCAGGGAAATCAGGGAAATGTGCAGGGGTAGGTGTACTTCAGGACAAGGGTTGGAAAGCACTGCTGGAATGTTTTGCAGTCTTTCAGAATGACTGTCTGTCATGAGTCTCAGAGCAATATAGATTATATTATATCCTTTTTGTTTTTACGCAAATGACTCATTTAATCATAATAATAATCATCATAGACAACTTATACACTTTGTCGCCTAACCATAGCAGTCTTAATACCCACTCACACACACTCATACAAAGTATCATATAACTGTGTGTTTCCCCTGCAGATGGCCTTATTCTTCGTGGCAGTGATCATGGCGGGGCTGAATGCACAGTGGTTCGGGCCAGCTGTCACTGAGAATATGCTGGTGATGAGGGAGATCGAGCAGGAGCATGGCCTGGGCGGGGAGGTGGGCTTTAGCACCAACAGAGAGCGCTATGCTAAACTCCGCGAGCAGGATCCTAAATACAAGGCTCACCGGAGCAGCTTCTACCGCTACCATGGCCTGTCCAACCTGAGCAACCTGGTCAGCTTCGCCTGCATCACCATCAATCTCATCTACCTGGCTCTTCATTTGGCCTCTATATAAGAACATTGTTGGCCTGTAGCAAGTATAGCAGACTGTCTGGTAAATGTTCTGGAACAGGTGTTGTCAAACTCTGGTCCTGGAGGGCCACACTACAAAATGTAGTATTTAACTTCCTCTGAAACACCTAATGTAGTTTTTATTGGGCTGAATTCATAACCAGTAAAATGTAAAACTAGGGTTCTGCAGGGCTGGAGTGAACACTCCTATTCTAGAAGATTCTTCAGTCTTTTTTTCTTTTTAAACTTTTTTTCTGTTAGGATTATTTTGGGTTCACTATTATGTCCTCCAGTGATTATCACTATGTTCACCAGTAGGACTGAACACAGTGCACTAATGCTGTATAGTTAATTGTACATTGATCAAATGACTCAGAACAAAATGATGGACAGATCGTAGCGAGAGTAGTCACATTAAATGACTAATCACAGTAATACATACTCATACTCTACTATGAGTTATTAAGGTATATAGTACACTTTTTTGAATGACATAAGGAACACCTCTCAGGCCAAGCTTCCAAACAAGTTCACAATATAGTAGCTGTTTGAAACACTGACTTAAATGCCTTCAATTACCACCTAGTGTACCTGAAGATTACTGCAAAACTATGATATTCTATTCATTTGCAACTGCAGAAACTGCAGTTTTAGGTTGTGCAGGACTAGTTACACAGCCAAAGACTTGCTGTGCAACTTGTTAATCACTAGTTGTGTTGAAAAAATGGCACATGCTATGACAAGATACTTTAGTAAATGGATACAAGGTGTATTTTTAACTCCTTTACTTGATGATGAAAAGATATTGACTGATGTGCTTATGTGTTATTTTTATGAATTCAAATGAAATGACTTGCATTGTGGCTAGGGTTATTCTAAGGCATTTTCTTTTCACAGTTGTTAATACTCTTGCTTATGTTATATATTTGTTTTTTCATAGTAAGCTGGTGTAAGCTTTTCAATTGTGTAATAATCAGTGTTGATTGGAAAAAAACTTTTTTTTTTCATTATCACAGTTACACAATCAACTGTGTACCTGTGTTCCCCAATAGATGGCGCTAGTTACGTTCATGTAAGGCCTTGTTTCTTTATCCTATCATTGCCTGGCACATGTGTTCGTGTTTGCTTTGTTCAAACAAACCACTTCAGCTCAGGAAAGGTGTGTGAGTTAGTTGAATACTTCAGCCAGTTGTGTCAGAGCAGAGAAAAAACTAATACATTTAATGCCAGGACCTTGAGAAACACAGGTATAAGTAACAATTGACTTCCACTGCTGCTGCTCCCAATGCTTTACAGTGCTCCTGCTCCTGATGTTTCATAAAGGCAACGTATCATGACAGAACATGATGACTCAAATATGTCTGATAACCGTACATTTCAGGAAATGGAGGCCTCGGTAGTGTGCCTTTGTCCCTCCACTATGCACTGGAAAATTAAGTTCCTAGCTCTATATCTGTGGCAAAGCATTCTGAATTTAATTGGATTTCCAATAGTACCATGTCATGCCATGTTGTTTGTACAGTGCAATGTAAACTTGGTTTCCTACAGAGCAACCCAACCCTAATTAATTGCCACCTGCTGTAGTCAGGGCACCCATGTCCCATGTCAAGTTTGACATCACTAAGGTTTAAGGATGTCATTGGTAGAACAGTTTGCTTTGGGTTATTATAGGTGCAGTTTTGGATTGTAAAAGAACAAAGTGGTAACCCAACCATTGGGTTTATTACAAAGCTGAAGCAAGGAGCTGCTGGTACACTAAATGGCCAAAAGCCTCTCAAATTTGGCTGTTTCTGCCATTGCCAACAGGTGCATAAAAGCAAGGCATTCTATCTCTATAAACAAATATTGGAAAAGAATAGATCATCTTGAAAAGCTGACTTTCAGTGTGGTACTGTCAGGATGCTGCTTTGCCAGCAAGTCAGTTCTTCAGAGCTGTGCCCTGGAAATGTCTGAGAGCAAGAGTTCAACTGCGAAGCAGCAGGCCACACAAGCTCACAGAACAGGACTGCCTAGTGTTGAAGCACGTAGCGTGTAAAAATGATCCGTCCTCAGAGTTCCAAACCACCCCTGAAAGCAAAATCAGCACAAGAACTGTTCGTCAGTAGATCCACAGATTGGGTTGACCTGATAAAGTAACTGCAGACAAGCCTAAGATCACCATGTGCAATGTGAAACGCCAGCTGCAGTGGTATAAAGCACACCATCTTTGAAAAAGCAGTGGACCAATGTTCACTGAAGTGATGGAGTTGGAAAACACTACCTGTCTGAATGCATAGTATCAACTTTAAGGTTTGTTGGAGGAGGATTAACAGTTTGGGGCTTTTTCATGGTTTGGTGTGGGCCCCTTAGTTCCGGTGAAGGAATATAATACGTACAGTGTAATGATACAGCATACAATGATATTCTAGGTAATTGCGTGCTTCCAAATAAATGGCAACAGTTTGGAGACGACTATTTCTTGCTTCGTTATGACAGTGCACACGTACAAAGCCAGGTCAAAACCAATCAAGTGTCATGGAACTTGACTGGCCTGCACAGAGCCCAGGCCTAAACCTCATTTAACTATTTTAGAATTGGAATACAGGTTTTATCATCCAACATCAGTTCCCAACCTCACTGATGTGATGGAATGAAAGCAAATCCCTGCAGTCATGTTCCAAAATCTGATGTAAAGCCTTCCCAGAAATGTGGAGGCTGTTATAGCAGCAAAAGAGAGGGCTGACTGCATATTAATATTACAGTAACCTTCAGTAGGAAAGCACAATTTTAATCCACTACATATTCAGACCAAGATCCACATATAACAGGAAGTTTACTATAATTTGTCACTTGGTCCACTGGTCTGTTTTGACATCAGATTATAATTCTCAAATTAAATTTTCCTATCTATTTTTAAGACCTTATTTGTGTGTTTACATAATCCATTAGGTTTCAGAAAAAGCATGCAAATATAGGCTTAAATCAGCCTTTAAAATAATCAGGTTCGACATGGTCAAACTTCATAGACAGATAGGCCAGCCTACTGAACAAACAGCTTATCTAACCAGCTTTCTAAATCTAGCATTTAACATCATTAGCAGTGATGCAGGTTGAGACTGGGAACAATCACTTCTCAAACCACAGTGACAGGCAATGGACTGGACTGCCTGCTCTCATCTCCATCAGAAACAATAGGGGCAGTAATGGAGAGATGGACTGCGCATGAGGCAGATGGCAAAAGGGGGGAGGTTACAAGAAAATAAACTGACTGACAGAGAAGAAACCTTTTCTGTATAAAATGAATGTAAAAGATAAACACACTAAATGTTCCTGATCATTCAAATCAGCAGCCATAAAAGAGATATAATTCCTTGACTAGAAGACTTAGAACCAAAAAGTTATTTGACTATATTTTTGGCACTGGAATGAGTTTTCATTCGAGAAAGGCACTTTTTGCTTATTCCTGTCATAATAGATACTAGGTCAGTTTTTCCTGTAGAATGGTCCAATATCCCATCCTGAATGGCTTAAAAGGTCTACAGTAGTCTAAGAGGAGCACCCCATTCTATTGGCAATGCTTTCTTATGGAGATTCTACAAGCTGTGTGAACACAATTGACTGCCTGTGTCAGCAATGGGTGCACCTTACAGGAGCTATATCCATTAATTATAAGGGGATGCTTTTGTGTGTGTGTATATATATATATATATATATATATATATATATATATATATATATATATATATATATATATACTAAGAAAAGCTCTAAAATCTGACATCTGACTCTATTATGGCAATACTTTTTCATGATTTGCTTGCCATAGTTACATCCAGTAAAAGAGGTGCAGTTAGACCAAAGTAAGCTTACAAAAACTGATTAGCTTCGCAGAAAAGCTTCTGACTGCTCCACTCCCCCACCAACACGCCTTTGGTTTCTGGACTATCTGAAAAAACACCAGGAAGTGTAAGAGAAAGGGATCTGGAAAGGAAGGTGGTGTATTCCACTCCAGGAAATGTCTGCCTACTAATCAGTAAAGAATTTGGAGTTATCTTTCAGTTCTTTACTAGTTTGTTCTTAGTGTGCCAGATGGTTCTTCAAGGGCTCTTTAGTAAGGACAATAGTTCTATTTGGAACCATGAGTTCTATATAGAACCATTCCATGCCTAAATGGTTCTTTGCATGGTGAAATCGTTCTTCAGAGTGATGAAGAATATGTTGTATATGATTCTATATAGCACCAAAAAGGGTTCTGCTCTTGTTGTATTGTCAAGCTTGTAACAGTAGAAGAAACCTTTTTGGTGCTATTTTAGCACAAAATGATTCTACTTAAAACTCATTGTCCTATATAGAACCATTGCCTTTCCAACACTTGAAGAACCGTCTTTTTTTAACAGTGTACAATGGACGTGTGCCAAATAGGCCTTCCCAAACAGTCACTGGTGTAATGTTGTGTATACATATTGCCACTCAGGTTCACTGGGCGTGTTGTCGAGAAAAAAAATAAGCAAAAAGTGAGGAACGAAGACAAGATGTGGAAATTGATCGAAAAGGTTCGTCCCCGCAGTGGGTGCCAGCTTCCATATGGCGCCATTTGGTCAAGCTGTCAGTAGAGTCAGGCTGTGATTTGATCCGTATTGAAGGCCGTGTGTGTTGGGGAGGTCGAGGCAGACAGGCTGCTCCTGTGTACACACTCCAGATCCGGGAGCTCCACAGCGCCAAACTCCGTGTGTGTGGAGGCTACATTCACCCTCCCCTAAGCGAGGAAAACACCGGCAGCTTAAACTCCAGCACCAAAGGGGATTTCACGTTCCTCAGGCTGAGGTAGGGTCTTGAAAACTTGTTTTTCTTTTTGCTGGTTTGCTGATACGTCGCGTGCAGTTTGGCCGTCGTGAGATTAAAAGTACCTCAGAAACGTTGGGAAACAGTTTTTTTTCCGGCGTTTTCTGCCCCTTTCCTGTCCGTGTGTAATCTCTCCGTGTGGCCAGTTTACACTTTTGGTCAGGTGTGCGAAGATTTTATCGGTAAAAGTCGAGACAGGCCCTGTGAAGAAGACCTTTCTGTCCAGTTTGGGGGCACCTGGGCACGGCGTCTTCTCTCAGGTAAAGCAAAGAGGTGAAGAGGCTGGGCTCCTGTGAAACTTCCGTGTGGTGTGCTGGCTTTGAAAAAAAACACTAGCAAAAAGATGAAAAACGTCTAAAAAACAGACCCGTTTGCAGAAAGATGCTCGTCTGTGAGCAATGAAGCTGTTCTTCGAAAGTGACACGGCCTGTTTACGAGTCCCTCGGTGTGTAATACCCAAAAATAGAGGTGTGGTTTGTTCTAATTTGATCTTGTAGTAAGTTATAATCAATAAAATCTATGAGCCTGCTGTGTTCATTTTTATTTCATTTTGCTATGACCTGAATGGGCCATTGTTTATTCAAAATATTCCAAAATAGGCATTAAATAATTATTCAAAAATAATTCTAATAAAAATAAATTGTTTTAGGTAGTTTTTTAAAACTGCCTATTTGCCTGAAATAGACACCAGGCATAATTTTTTTTTGTGTAACCACTGGCCCATAGATTGTTGTTGGGGATCAGAACGCAGACTATGTTGCAGTGCATGCTGGGGACTGTAGTGTGTTTTAGGGTGAAACGGGCTAAAAATAGAGAATTAAAATAATTTCACAGACCTAAATAGGACTGTGTCACGGGCCTGACTTGACCCGCATGCCTTGTGTTTGACACATGGGAGTTAGACCAATCAAAAGCAACCAAACACCTTTTCTGTGACCTTACAACCACAACGGAGGCACCACATTCAGTGTTCAAACCTCAAGCCAGAAAAAAATTATATTATTGGATTAAAAAAAATCTCTCTATATATAGACCTAGACAATTAGCACATTTTTAGTCGCAGTGACATTATTTGCCAGAAAAATCACAATTACATATTTCCCCTGAATCATTCAGGCCTAAACATTGGCCATAGAAACTTTAAAAAAAAGATGAACGAGTGCTTTGGTCAGACATAGATCTCGCTTCTAGGCTACTCAATTTCTCAACAGATGTCACATCTGCCAAGCAATCGATAAGAGCACTCCCACAGCACCATTCCACACTAGGCCCAGAGGCAGTGAATTATTCTCATGTCACACTAGGGCATTTGGGGTGTTTTGTGGCCTCTGAAAGTAATTTGGTTCAGGAAGATGATCTATATGTAGCTTTTCTCCCCAAATTCTTCATCAAACAGTCCACAGTTTAAGTCAGTACTTTACAGCTTGTCAGTTTTTTGTGGATTTGAGAGAAGGATAAATGAGCAATTTGGGCCAATTTCTTTCCCCACACAGGAAAAGCTCCCTCCGATTAGCCTCAAATATACGGTCATGTTTGTTGGGAAATGTGTTTTACCCTCCTCCTGGGCCAACAGATTTAGGATGTCTGTGAGATAGTCATCACTCAGCCACTCACAACGTAATAAGTCCAAGCTGCTACCCAATGGTCAGTTAGCTGTCAGTTCCTTGAGCTGTGTAGAGCAATAAAATGAAGGGCTCATGTTTCTAATGAACATGTCTACAACAACAGGCCGGCGTATGGCCTTTTTTTATGGTGCCTGTTTTTATGGTTTTAATTTAGGCAGACATCTGCCATGTATTTGAACTGCCGAAAAAAGGAATCAAACCAACAGACCACAATTAAATCATCTGTGTTGTCTTCCTGACAAGACTCATTGCTGGAAAGGTTTGGATGATTAGGCAGAACAGAAACTCCAGTTGGTTTGTCCTGTGCACTAATAATGGCTAGTGGTTTCTGTTTTGAAGACCTCTGGATGCAGGCTGCCCACACACTGGACATGTGACTAGGCTTTTTTGGAGGCTTTAAAGCTTTCCTGCTAAGACCTGCTAAGAAAACAGCATAAGATCCTTGTGTGTTTACAGTAGAAAATGAGAATTAAACAAGAAGAAAAATACAAGGACTTAGTAAGAAAAACCCTCCATGTTATATGAAATCTTGTGTATTATTGCCTTGACACAAATCTTATTGCAGTGTTAATATGATCCTATATGATCTGCTAGAAGGCTCTTCTGCAAAATGTTAGAGAGGACTTTTTCAGCATGTTTCAAAACTTCTCTCATTCTGCTGTCCTCTTCCTTAAAAGTTTGCAACACCTTCTGCGTTGTAAACCGCATGTAGACTTCACACTCGTCATGCAGTGTTAAGTTTAACCGTCAAAACATGCTCCTCATAAGGAACTGCTTGTGTGTGAAAAGCCTTGTTGCATACATTTGCCAAGTTCTTGTGAGAAGAGGTTTCCTCAACAAGCAGGTGACATTTAATCCATTCTCTTGCTTCTTTGAACTCCACTCTCACAGGCACACTCCAGTACTAAGGGCCTGTCCCTGCCCCCTCCTAAACACACATACACAGACCTGTTGCCAGAAGCATGCGTTCACACAGAGCTCGCATTTATACGAGAGCTCTCCTTCCCTTCGGAACAATAGCGTCCGTGGGCACTCTTTGTTGTGCAGTAATATGTGCACCTCTGGAGAGGAGTCGTGCTCAGATCGCTCAGGCAGCCCTCTAATGGGGTCTGCGCGTTTTGTTCAGGAGCCCGTCACCATGGAGACGCACCTCGTCCATTGCCAGAGGCTACCGTGTGGCCCTCTGACTGACCAGGAGGGGAGGGTAGCAAAGGGGAGGAGAAGAGTGGAGAGGGGAGGGGAAGATGGGAGGTTTTTCTCTTCATGACTTTGAGCACTGTGGTTAGTTGGGTCTCTGGCTTTTTTTTGGAGATGACAGACTCTGGAGGCTATGCTCAGAGGGTAACAAGATATCCGGCTTTACACAACAAAGAAAGTTACTGGGATTGTACAGTTGATGTGCTTACAAAAATGGAATGTGAACGGAATTCAGCTGCTGATTAAGTTTCATGTTTTTTTGTGTGTGTGGCTAGTTTCCCTAGTCCTAAACTAAATTGGAGTGCCGGTGGTAAATCACCACTGGAAATTCTTTACAGTCTAGGCTTGGGCTTAATTTTGGATTGGGAAACTGGTCCTGAGTGTCTGTGGTTTGTAAACATAATAGGCAAGGTTGTGTTAGTTTAGTCATAACGTATTGACTTGCATCTTGAAATTTGTGTCAAATGCAATTTAGTATATAAATTGGTTTTTGTTTTGCACTTTTCTTAATTAATCGGTCATTATGAGTTAACTGTCTTAACATCTCCTGTCCTGTAGATGGCGACGGTGAGCGACTCACGCTTGCAGCAACAGCCCTCTCAGAAGGATGCGGCTGATCAAAACTTTGATTATATGTTCAAGCTTCTCATCATTGGCAACAGCAGTGTCGGCAAAACCAGCTTCCTTTTCCGCTACGCTGATGACTCCTTCACTTCTGCTTTTGTCAGCACCGTGGGCATCGACTTCAAGGTCAAAACAGTTTTCCGCAACAACAAAAGGATCAAGCTGCAGATCTGGGTATGTTTGAATGATCTTTTGCTTTGTCATACAGATACAATTGAGCTGGTTTGAAACCACAGTCAATTCTCAGTACTGGAACTCACAGCATCCCCACAGTACGGTTATCATGTTCCCTGTTAGTGATTACGTAGCAAGGGTGGGCGATACGGAAAATATAACATCATGATACTTAGACATTTTCACGATACATGATATGTACCACATTATTTAGTTATTTTGAAGTTTGAAAAGTTGTAACAGAAAGAAAAAATACTATATATATATATATATATATATATATATATATATATATAACTATATATAGCACAATACAGTGATTTTTTTTTTTTTTGTTTGTGTTTCACGTACTTCGATGCACTCAGTACAACAAAACAAGACTAATTATGCTTTCCTTGTAATGACACACTCAGTCAGTGAGCGTTCTGACGATATCCACGGTATACTCAGAAAAGCATATCGTGGTGTAATGTATCATGATAATGATATAATATCGTCATGTTGCTGACCCCTATTTATCTATTTATCATGGACTGCTGTGGTGCTTTTCTGACTGTTCCTGATTAGTGCTTTAACACAGTGGTTCTCAGCTCCAGTCCTGGGAACCCCCCTGCACTGCATAGTTTCAAGTACTCCTTGCGCCAACATATCTGATTGAGCTTATGAAGGCCTTGATAATTACCTGAGGGGTTAATCAGGTGTGTTGGAGCAGGGAATACTTGAAACTGCAGTGTAGTGGGTCCCCTACACATCTGCCCATCCTTGATGAAGACCTGGATGTGGTTTGAGTGAGATGAGAGATGTTTTGGGGATATATTTTTATGGAAAATATTTGGGTGACTATTGACATGTAGTGTTTGTTAGCAACGCTAGCCTCATATTTGGACACCAAATATGTCTTGGCTGATCAAGACAACATCTGGGGCAAGAGGGATATTTCACATAATCATTTTTGTTGTTTTGTTGTTCCGATATTTTTCTTGACAGACATTAAATCTAGTCCCAATGAGAGGAACTGTCTAGAAAAATAGAAAACAAACCAAAATGACTGAAACCTTGGATTATTGAGTGACTCTGGTGTTTTTGAAACTCATTTGAAACCATTATTCTACAAATGGTGTTTCATTGAGGACACTCAGCCTTAGTGATAGCATTCTTGAAAAATCTCTCTCTTCATGTCTTATCTGCAAAAAAGTCATGTGAAACTTGACCTGTGCAGTTCCAATTTGAAACACATTTACAGGTCTGAACGCACAAATCTAAGCACTCAGAAGCAAAATGCAGATATGTTCTTATCGTTCACTGTTGTCTATGTGCAGCATTTTTTTAGGTCACTGTTTTGATTAGTGCAAGTGCAGAGTCTCAGAAAGTCATAATTATCAGGAAGAGCTCAGTATGTGCTGTACCAAGCTTCTAGAGCAAGCAGGGTGTGGGAGTCAAATCTGTCCACTGAATTAGTGGGTTCTCATTGCCTCCCAGCCACAAATAATCAGCCTTTTGCTCAACTGACTGTGTGAAAATTCTTATACCATACCCCTTAGCTTTTCCTCTGCTTCTCTAGCCTGCTCATGTACCGCTGAATCATGAACTTAGTATCTGCCTCTGAATGTGTGTGTCAGTTTTCTTTCTACCATTTTAAATAGCAGGGAAGCTCAGCCAGGAGGCTGTAGGTTAAAGTGAAGCAGCCATGGCAGGTAGGCTAATTGATTTGCACTCTCATAGCTTTGTGAGTGCGGGGCAGATGAAGTAGATGGCACTGCTTTCAGGCAAGAGCCTCCTTAATGTGCTCAGTGGCATCCATCCAAAGCTGAAATGGCTCCATTGTTTGCCTATGCTGGCTCCTCCAGAGGGCCTGGAGCATGGCTGGCACAAACCACTTCCTGGCAAAGCCACACCCCTGTCTATTCCTCTCTACTGCCAGTAAGTTGGTAAGTAAGCATGGTGAGGGGCATCAAATGATGTAGGAGCCTTGCAGTTAAAGGCACAATGACTTTCACTTTCTGTCACGGATCAGCAGTGTAAGCAATAGTTTAGAGTGCTTCAAGTGTGCATGCAATTCCTTTGCTATCTTAAATGGGCAGCTCTTCTACCACCTCTTTTCATATAATGATGTTCAGATAATAATTTCATTGGCACATCCCATGTTGACTTGTCAGACAATTTGTACCTACAAAGACAGGAACACAGGAAAACTTTTGGGGGGCATTTTACTGGTCCCCATGTTAAATACAAAATGTAACTTTAATTGAGAAACTAAAGCTGTAGTTGTTGCAACATCTTTGGTTACTAAGATTAAGATTCAAGTTTGTTTAAGTTAGGGGTGGGAATCTCTAGGCACCTCACAATTTGATTACGATTCAGAGGGCTGCGATGCGATTATAAAACGATTATCGATGCATCTCGATGCATCTTTATTTTCTATACATGATTTCTATTTTCTTACTGTCTGAGGACTTGGCACTTTTAAAGCTAAGCATTTGTAATGATCCATAATGCATTCATGTCCAATATCTTTTATTAATAAAACAAATGGAAGTGATGTGGCAAGTGAACTGGAAGGCTCTCATTCGCTGCTCTTGTTTGGAGACGCTGCTGCCACTCATATGTGATAAAATGCGGTGAAATAAGATCCAGTGGTAATTGATGACCACGCTGCACATTATAGCTGTCCTACCCATTTTCTTTAGTGATTTTATAACTTCGGTTTTGGTCTCGTGGTAGAGAGTGGGTCAGTTGTGTCAGTAAATTATATGCGAGATGGGACGTGTGCAACATAGCGCGAAAGCCCTGTTTCTCAACGACTGAGAACTCGCGTGCAGACTGCAGGTCACATAGCCAGACGAAACCTCGTTGCTAGTAGCGAACGAAAAAGGAAAAGAGAAAGACAGACGAACATTTGGAGACGAATGGACTTATTAGCATTTATAAGCAACGTAGTTGGTTTCCTAATACGTTAAATCTGCAACGAGAGACTGTCAAACACTGAACAGTTGCGAAGATGAAGTCTCTTCTCTTTCTAATTTTCCCGGTCCACCTTAAATGGTGCCGCATTTACCTTCGGCGCCTCAGTCAGAATTTGGTGGAACGGGAAAGTTCAGCAAGAAGCTGGCGAATGAGAAACGACTTCAGCCTCGTAAAACACCCGAAAGCTGAAAGACATTTTACAAGAAACTATTCAACTTTTGAGGAAAAGTTTTCTGGCGGAGATGGAAGAAAAGCGGCTGTAGCTAAATCTTAAAGCAGAGCAAAGTAAGTCCGCGTTTTCGTTTATATTGTTTAGTCTATACTAGGACATTATCCATGTGTTGTGTGTGTCCACTGGCTGCCTTTATTATTGTTTCCTTTTTGAAGACTTGCTTTCAGAGTAATCTGCAGAAATATTATCCTATACCTCCAAAATTCAGTCTTTGCATTTTCTGCTTCTTCTGATCCAAATCATTCCAAACTCATTCAGTGACGTTGGGGTTTTGAGTTTTTTTTTTTTTTACTGGCAAATTGTGGCCAGTAAATTGTTCTGAGAACACCAGCAGCTTCTTTGTTTTATTTGCAAATTTTCTTCCCTTTTCTCTATTACCCGTTGTTCTTTGCAGCTACACATCCTTTCAGACCTATAGTGCTGAGTTGTCTTCTCACAGTGGAAAGATGGACAGAAACACCAAAACTGGAGCTGGATTTTCTCCTCTTTCTTGAAGATAAAGCTTTAAGTACTGTCACCCTGTTTACACCTGGTCACTTGATGTGACTAGCCTCTGGATTGTATCCTGATAAGATTTTAGCCGCATGCATTTATACTTGGTAGTCATGCGTCTCTGGTTAGTCGGATTAAAATCTGATTGCTGTGTGGGACGGAATATGCAAATCCGCTCGTTATGCGGCTACCAGTTGTTTATCCGTTCAGCCTCTTCCTGTGATGGTTGCCGCCTCAAAATTCATCTGTCCATATTGCTGTTAAGCATTTCATTTCATCGGGTCCCCAACCATGTGTGTCCTTCAAGATTATCTTCCTCACAGACACGCTTCACATGCCCAGCGACATACTGCATGGTGAGGCGTTTCAGTTGTAATGGGAGAGGTTTTGGTTGTCAAATGTGTCTTGGAGAGACGGATGCGTTTACACTCCTATGCCATGTGGCTCAAATGCGTCTCAGACCTCCTCTTCTTGGGCGCGTTTGCACTTGCATTTATATTTATTATGTGGCTTGGTCTTATCCAGATATAATCCTGATACTCAAGATGCATAAAGTGACCAGTGAAAACAGGGTCTGTTTATCTGATGATGACAGTTTTGGTGGTCCACCAGGTATTGCATGGTTATTAGTAGTCTCTTGGGAACTTGTTTTTTCATATACTCTCCTTTTGATTTTCCTCTTCCTTACGCAAGTGGATCATCTTGTATCTACTTTCCTCAGAAATATCTCCTAAAAAAAAAAGTGAATAGTTTGTACTTACTGGCCATTTTGAATGGAAATTAAATTCATTAAGGGTTGTCTCTGCCTTTTGCATAGAACTGTAGTTATTTGGAAAAGTCACATAAAGATAGGGTTAGTGTGAGTGTGAACATGAGTGTGAGAGAGTGAGAGATTATGCTGACATAGGGTGAAGTGTCTCCTTCACAGTGACATACCAGATCTCTGGGAGCGGACCATCCACAGATGGTTACGCATCACAGCTTTGTATCAGCAGAAACAGGATGTGACACGTTTGTAAGGCCATGATGACGTTCACGCTATTGAACTCTCTGTCATCATACTGCTTTATCTAAGGAAGAACAAATGCTGTTTTCTAATTCTATCTGTCCCTTGTTCTTTTCTTTGTTTATTGATGATATCTGTTGTCAGCTAAGCTGTTAACAAAAAGCCACCAGTGTAGGGGACACAACTATACATTAACAGTGGGGCTAAATCATACATGAAATACACTGTCTTGAATGTTAACCAAACTGTTATGAATTGTTTTACAGTGACATACTCTTGAAAAAAAGTCAGTTTTCTTAAATCATATGTAATAATTATATTGTGAAATATATTTATGTGAATGCATATGCCTTAGAGTACACCACAAATATTTTCTTCCAACACTTAGTTTAGCACATAGTTTAGTAAAAGCATAGTTAGCACTTTATTTGTTTATTTAATTTATTTATTCATTCTGTAAATGGGTTTTATTGCAGCTCATTAGTTGAAAATGCACACACAGGCTTAATGGAACATATCCAACCTGAGTGACCCTTACGTTACCTGGGCAACCTCTCCCCTCCCTTGTTGATGATGTCAGGACTCTTATGCAAATGAGGGGACCAGGTTTCCAGGCGACAGAGGGATAGTTGCCGTGCCAACATAGCCCCTCTACCTGTTTGATTACTTCAACTCTTCCATTTTGTAATGACTCTGATGTAAGCTTTGGCCGAGTGATGTTGAATTCCAGTGACACACAGGCCAACCGGTCGTTGAAGTGTTTGCTGACCAACAGATAACTGATAACTGTTTTAGGCCTTATTAAAGTACATTATTAGGGAGTTAATGTCTGCTATGATAAGCCAGAAGTGTTAGTGTTACTTTCTTCCCTGTCAGTTTGAGTCAAAGAAGGATCTGAGAAATAGGTGCCCTCTGCTGGCTAGCAATAGCAATTACCCTACTAAAGGACTTTTGAGTTCAAAAAGAGTGAAAGTAAAAGTGAGACTTAACATTAAATGAACCTCTCTAAACACCGCAATGTTTTTCATGGTAAATGCTAAATCTACCTACCATTACATGGCAATGAGGAGGCCATTTCTTTATATACCCACCTTTTGATAGCAAGTAAGGGGGGGGGGGCATTGTTTGATATATACACCCTTAGGTGGCAAATGAGGGGGCCATTGCATAATATTCAAAAATATAGCTTACACCATGGGGAGAACACCCTCTGTTTGAGACATGTTCTGAGTCACAGAGCCTTGCATTGCATGGTACTGAATATTTAGAACTGGTATTTTGTTTGTTTGTCTTAGGACACAGCCGGACAGGAGCGCTATAGAACCATCACTACAGCTTACTACAGAGGAGCCATGGGCTTCCTGCTAATGTATGATATTACCAACCAGGATTCTTTCAATGCTGTACAAGACTGGTGAGTATGTGAGGGAAAGAGTGTCAAAGGCAAAAAGAAAAAGACATGCAGACATAGATATTTGTTTCACTATATGTATTGTACAACTCTGTATTTAAAAACAGAATGCAATGATGGACAAATCATTTAAACCCTATATTTAATTGAAAATAGTACAAAGACAGCATATCAAATGCTAAAAATGAGAAATTTAGTTTTTTGAAAATTATATGCCCATTTTGAATATGATGCCAGCAACACATTTCAGAAAAGTTGGGGCAGGGGCATGTTAAACACTGTGTTGCATCACCTTTCCTTTTAACAACACTCTGTAAGTGTTTAGGAACTGAAGAGACCAATTGCTGGAGTTTTGAAGGTAAAATGTTTTCCCCTTCTTGCTTGATACAGAGTTTCAGCTGCTCAACAGTTCAGGGTCTCGTTTGTCATATTTTTGTTCCATGATGTGCCAAATGTTTTCAATGGGCACCCAGACTTTTTTTACGATGGAGCCATTCTGAATGTGGTTTGGCTTTGTCTTGCTAAAAGAAGTAATGCCTTCTTGAAAAAGATCTCGTCTGGATGGCAGCATATGTTGCTCCAAAACCTGTATATGTCATTCAGCATTAATGGTGCCTTCACAGATGCATCCCCATGTAATGCACCCCCACACCATTACAGATGCTGGCTTTTGAACAGTGCGCTCATAAGCCGGATGGTCCCTCTCCTCTTTAGCTCGGAGGATGTGCCATTTATGATTTACAAAAGAATTTCAAATTTTGATTTGTCAGAGCACAGGACACGTGTCCACTTTGTCTCAGTCCATCGTAAATGATCTCAGGCCCAAAGAGGGCAGATACTTACTTAGGGCTACTTAGTTTCTGGATCCTGTTACATGGTTTCTTCTTTGCCTGGCAGAGTGTTTTTAAATGCAGTGCCACCTGAGGGCTCAAAGATCACAACCAGCCAATATTGGTTTTTGGCCTTGTCCCCAGCATACAAAGATTTCTTCAGATTCTCTGATTCTTTAAAGATATTATGTACCATAGATGATGAATCACCAAGTTCTCTGCTATTTTATGTTGAAAATGTTATTTTTGAATTGTTGCACTATTTGCCCTTGCAGTCTTTCAAAGTGTAGTGAACTCTTCCTCATCTTTATTTCTGAAACACTCAGCCTCTTTGCTATGCTCTTTTTATACCCATACATGTTACTGACCTGTTGCCAATTAACCTATTTACTTGTGTCCAACAGGTGTTTTATTTATTTTTTAATTTATTATTATTTTTTTTTACACAACTTTACCAGTCATTTGTTGCCCCTGTCCCAGCTTTGTTGAAATGTGTTGCTGGCGTCAAATTCAAAATGAGCATATAGATTTTTCAAAAAAAACATTTCTTTGTTTAAAAATTTTGGATATTGTCTTTGTACTATTTTCAATTAAAATTAGTGCTTGAATGATTTGCACATTACTGCATTCTGTTTTTTTTTTTACATTTTGCACATTTTCCCAACTTCTTTGGAAACAGGGTTGTACAATAACAATACACAAACTGCATGTCTTATACTGTGAATGTGTCTTGGTTTTAGGGCTACTCAGATTAAGACCTACTCATGGGACAACGCCCAGGTAATTCTGGTGGGTAATAAGTGTGATTTGGAAGATGACCGACTCATTCCAACAGAAGACAGCCAGAGACTGGCTGATGAATTAGGTGAGAACGCACACACACCAGATACATAAACAGCAAACAGAACACGCCTACATCTATGCACTAGAGCTTATGTAGGCATATCAAATTCCAATGAAAGTTATTATTTACACCCTGTACTTTTATAAAATAAATCTCACTGTATTCTGGCTCCGCCCCCCGTTTCACAGGATTCCAGTTTTTTGAGGCCAGTGCCAAAGATAACATCAACGTGAAACAGGTGTTCGAGCGACTGGTGGATGTGATCTGTGAGAAGATGAATGAAACTATGGAAGGAGACGGTGGTCCACTCGGCAATCACAAAGACCCCAACCTACAGGACTCCGTCGCCGAGGGACACAGCAGTTGTGCCTGCTAAAGGCCAACCCCCTCCACATCTGTTCAACTTTTCAGTCTACCCCTTGCATCCCCCTTCTCTTGCACCTATATTTGCACATTACAGATGGAAGGTTAAAATTTCAGGCCAGACTCACTGTGTGATGAACCAGTTAGTAGCGGTGAGGTTTATACTTGAGTATACTTGAGATTTGGGTTAAAGTGTGAATTCATGTTCAGGAAAAGTAAGAGCCCCTTCACGTTCTCCAGATACAAAGTAAATCCATGCCTTGTTTTTCTTGAATTAGCCAGTATCTGCCAAAATGATATACTGTAACTTTACTTCATTTGACAAAACAAGTTATATGAGTACAACAGTCAATAAGCATGATGAGACTTGTAAGAATTCCTTCTAAAAGAAAAAGGGGATTCCATTATCCACTATCTATTATGGATTTGGCAGGTGAGACGTGAGTTCAAAGTCAAGAAAATTATACATTTTCTTTGTACCCAGATAAGGCCCAGAGTGCCCACACTAGCCCTTAAACCTTCCAACCCTTTCTGCAACTCATTGTATCTCCCTTAGCATGAGTTGAGACCACTAAATAGCTACACCAAACCTAGATACGTGGCAGCTGCCAGAGGTCCCTGTGCTAACAGCTAGCAGAGATAATCATCCATTCATCCACACCCATCCATTCTCTGGCCATCCTGCACTCAACAACCCCTCTCCTGGGCTCACTGCCACTCCTCTCTATCCCTACACCCCCTCAAAGGCTGCATCTTGGGAGAAATCTGTGGCTTAGCCCACAATGGACATGTTCTTGTCTCGTGCTAGATAGCCCCATATTCAACTGTCACTGTCACTCTGTACCCCACTTGGCCAGTGTTATGTGTCTCTTTTGTCTTAAAATGTCGCTTTAGAGGCTTAAGATGAATGTGCACATACATGCACCAGTGATCTGGGAGTTGTTGGATTGCATATATACATGAGTAATATCAAGGAAGTAAAACATTACAGAGTAATATGATAATTTCACACCAAATGTTTGGAATGGGAATGGTAAAATGCACAAAATAATGGAATTGCTACATGTGACTCACAGGAATAATTAGGCATGTTTTTCGCTGAACCTTTGACTTACTTTCCTAAACTTGTTAACCTCACTACAGACTACCTAAAACTCTTCTTGTTGTTCTGTTTATTTTTGTCACCAAACTGTTATTACGTTTAATTTCTCTGGTTTATACTTGCCCTTTTACTTCTCAAGTATTGACCCTATTCCTGTTACCACATTATCTTTTAATAATGTGTTGATGTTATTATATATTGGTAAAAGAAACATGGACAGTTTGGTGAGAACATTGCTCCACTGTACCTGGCTTAGAGAGAGGTGTCCTAATTCAAGAACTAGTGGTTATTCAGTCTCTGGTCATCTTTACATTTGTTCAAATGATGGCATCAGTTTGGAAGAATGTACATATTGTCAGATACCATAACTTGTACTATAGCAAACATGGGCTTGTGTAAGGCTTCCTGATTTTGAGAGTGCTTACCAGACTTAAATTAAAATCTTGTGTTTCAACCTGGTAAGAGTGATAAGACTGAAAGTAGAGAAGACTCTGTACCATCTCATCCAATCCACACCCCTTCCCTCTCTCATTCTATCACTCGCTCCACATACAGTGCCAACTGTCCGTTATGACCAGTTGGTGCATCTCAGTAGAGATACTCTGGTCTAACGTGTTTTTTTTTTTCTTCCTATGATCTCTTTTAATTTGTTCATTTCCCCCCCTCTGACCTGATTCTGAATGTTTTGTGTACTGTACCATGAATGTTATTTTGGTGCCCTGTTAAGGTGTAAGAAACCTGATTCACTTTTTTGTTAACACTAGCTCTTTTATGTTTAGCCCTCTTTTTTATGCTTTAAAAACTGTAAAAGATTCTTAGAAGAGGTGTCATGTTAAGTATTTAGAAGAGTATCATGTATTTATTCAAAGCCTCTGTGTCTGCTATTGCAATGGGACACTTAAGTTTATATTCACTATTAGTGCAGTATTGAAGGCTGACTGTATATTGATTTCAGGCTCAGACACTGTGGTATCCCAATTCATGGGCTTCAAAGTCCAGTCCTGGAATTTTAGAGTCCAGCACAGTTTGGTGATTTCCCTGCATAAATGCACCTGATTAAACTTAGCAGTTAGTTACAAAGTTTTGGTTGTGTTTGAGCAAGAAAGTCACCAAACTGTGCTGGTAACCAGCCTTCCAGGACCAGAACTGGACACCCTTATCCTAATACTCTGATAGTGAAGTGTGCTAACCAGAGCAAGCTACCAAACAGAAGCACCTTGTATCTTGTATCCATTTGGTGTTTTAAACCAGAAGTTGTTTTTTTTTCTGGCCAGAGGTATTTAAGGAAGTGTAGAAATAAATGTATGGACTGTTCGCAAAATAAAAATTATTGTTGAGATTGAGATTTTTGTTGATAGTGTGCTCAGATGTTTTCATAGCAAAGAGAGAGAATAAGAAGTGGATTTGACAGCAGGCTCAGCTGGCAGAGGGGGTTGTCTTTGGTCAAGTAGAGTGGGGTGCAAAGTGCTTCTGATAGCATCTGATTTACAACTGTACACCACATGCCTGCTTGACACTTTTATCTAACTATGCAGAAAAGTGTGCACAACAAAAGGGGCTTCCTGCTGTTCAGTTTCCTGGTAGCCACCGGTAACCCACAACCTCCTGAAGAACAGAAAAACAAGAGTGCACCCTGTAATACACCTCTTTGTTCCATATAAATTCATTAAATATTACATATTAATGTACAGGCACATTTGGGCCACTGTGCTAGACAGAAATAAAGCCTACTTCATTATTATCACTGTACTCCAAGTCTGGAAGGCCACATGCTCTGGAGGAGTTTCATGTTCTTCCAGGACCTCAGCCATAACATTTAGCTAATGATCAAACCTCTCTTGAGTTGAATCTGGTGTGTTATAGCAACCGCAAAACTGTGCAGTGCACTTCGGGCCTCTAGGAATGGAGTTGAAACACACTGGCCTTCTGCTATGCTAAATTAAAAGTGGGAGTGCAGATTGTCCATTCATAGAAAACTCATTCTCACTTCAGAGGCGCACTTCAGTTCCAACTGGTTCTAAAACCAGTCCTCAAGGACCCAGATAGTCCACATTATTGCTTAGTCCCAATTCCCAACGCATAGGAAATGCCTGAGAACAGGTTTGAGAATTGTAGGGAATGGTGGAGAAGTCATGCAGTTGAAGATGTGCAGCTCTGTGGATTGTAGCTCAGATTCCCAATGGGCTGTAAAGTTTGAGGATCCTGCTCAATATAACCTAATCTCCCATCTTAGCAGCTTCTAGATCTCAGGGTCCATGCAAAGAAAGTGTTGCAAAGGTTGAACACAGGAGGACTGTGGCAGTGTTGGGGTGCGTTGTGTTAGGACTCCATCATACCTTATCTGCAAGACTAATACGCTCTGATAAACGTGTGCTGGGTTAAAAAAAAACAGGAGTGCTGCCCTCCGATAACAAGACCGGTTAGTGCAGCTCCACACAAGTGAAACCTTCTCTGCCTTTACCTCTATCATGTCTAACTGTTGCTTAGTTTCCTTGTGTCATCATTCACCAACTCACCTGACTTGTTCTATTTTGCCCAAACTAATGGGCAAAAATAATGAGCAATTGGAAAGGTGTTTTCATCAACACAGCAGAACAAAAAGAAAAAAGTCAAAAGAGGAATTAGAAACCAAGTGTGAGACTAAGACGGAACTTCAAGATGACCCTGATAGCAAAAACAGCATAGACCAGCATGGCTGGTCATCAACAAACCCAGCAGTGTATTTTTGAATGCTGGTATACTGGTCAGCAGCAATGAGCGATATTAAGATCATCATTTTTCACTTTTTTACATAATTTAAAAATGCCTGTTGCACTTTACATTTGTGCAAATTTCATGATGAATGCACCAAAAAATGGCCTGAATTTATTTGGATAAAACATTAACTTACATTAACAGTAACTTATGTTTTTCTTCTCCTGTAAAGTTGTTATTTTGGAGACAAGGTTTTCACAGCAGTGAAATGTTATATTTCAGACGCTTGTATGCTGGTCAACCAGCATGGCCACAATGGATGGCCAGCATTTAATGCATGCTGGTTTGTGTTTTTCCCAGCAGGGGAATAGCATCATCAAAAATACTATACTAATAAATACTCTACAAAAATAACTCAGACTAAAAATCTGTTAAGAACATATACGGAACTCAGTAAAAAGCAGATGCTTTTATCACATAAGGCTTGGATATTAGTAAAAGCATCAGATGATTATAATTTTTACTCAGTCCATCAAACCTTTGACTTCAATATGTGAAATCCAGTAAACGGATCTTGTTACTACACTTGTTACTACTCTGGCCCCTCCCACAGAAAAACTTCTGGCTATTTGGCGCTCCTGCTCGTAATTAAAAACACACAAGTAAACAATTCAGGACGTTCTTGAGTCGCTTATCTCGTACTCTGCACGTTGTGAGAGTGGCGCGAGATCCGCCGTATCTGCAGAACAAGCTGTGCACGAGCGAGCGAGAGAGGGAGGGAAAGAGAGCGAGCGATAGAGAGAGCGAGAGAAAGAGAGAGAGCGCGAGACAACGACAGTCGGACTGTTGGTCGGTATGCGGAGTAACAGCAATGTTGCTTTTGTTCTTTGTTGAGGCCAAAAAATGACAAATGTCAGAAGAAGCGTTTTAGCGATTTACGTACTTTCTTTGGCTTTTGCCTCAAGCGCAGGACAAACTTTTGAAAGCAAAGGTAAGAAGAGATTCTTCACCTGTCACTTCAACCTCGTGTCTAGCTCAACACAACCGTACCCTAAATTATATTTATCATATATTTTTCAGTTTTTGACACAATTTGAAAACGTCTGTTGCCCTTTACATTGTGTGTAAATTTCATGATGAATGGACCAAAAGAAATGACCCAAAATTACTTGGAAAAAATTCTGGTTCCATTGACTTACACTGAAAGTAAAGTATGTTTTTTCCTTCTCCTGTAAAGTTACCATTTTGGAGATTCCAACAACAGCGATATATTACATATCCTTGAACAGCTACTCAACAATTTATACTTGAATAGATGTCCTGTGCTTCTGTCTACTTATTTACGAAGGAAATGTTAATGTTAGAGCACATCCTTTACAGAAAAGTCACATATTCTACTTGTGAAGTGTGCAAAAACCACCTATTTACAAGAAACGACACTTTTTACACATATGAAACATGTAAACAGCACGTGTCTATTCACATGGTAAATTCATGTGACTTTTCTGTAAAGGATGTGCTCTGTCTGCTCCAAACAGTTGTATGTCAAACATGTATGTCGCTGCTGTCGGAAGAAAACCTCGTATCTCAATTTTTGTCACTGTTCTCAGTTTTTGACATAATTTGAAAATGACTATGACCCTTTACATTGTGTGTAAATTTTATGATGAATGGCCTAAAAGAAACGGCCCAAAATGACTTGGAAAAATGTCTGGTTCCATTGACTTACACTAAAAGTAAAGTATGTTTTTTCCTTCTTCTGGAAAGTTACCATTTTGGAGATACAAGGTTTTTACGACAACAGCGATATTTGGGTTCAACAGCTTTTCATGCTTGTAAAATGAACAACCTCCACCTGTTTAAGAAAAAGCAGTAATTGTGATGAATTCTCATTGTTGTAGTTGAACAGTTGCTTCATGACGAGCCGGAGAACATAAAATGTTTTACTGAGACCTTGAGGGACCTAACCTGCTTCTGGGATGAAAAGGAAGACAGGAATAGTTTCTTCGACCAGTACACATTCACCTACCAATACCAGTGAGTAACTATTGAGGATGCTGGGTTTGAGTGTCAGTCTCCATGCTGAACTTTAGTATTCATACTACATATAGTATTCAAGCACAGGATGTTGTAAGTGTGTGTCTAGTTATTCAAAAAGGGTTCATTATTGTTATCTGGATCTACCAAATGGCAACCTAGGTGACTGCCCATTAATAGCCAAAAAGCATTATCATTGTGTAATTTTAATGGATAGTGTCATCAATGTGGGATTGTTTTCATTTTGGTATCTTATTTGACGTACATTGCGATATTATTGACCTTCAAGAGCATGCTGATGCCTTCTCTTTGGCACAGCTGACTGATCTTTCCAAGGCCTTAGCTGAAGAATTAGTTCTGGCTAAGTTTAGAACCAGCTCAACTTCAGCAATACCTTCCTGGGACCTTTTAGGCAAAATTATATATTATCAATTATTATCAGAAACTTATTGTCAGTGGGTTTGTTCGGATAGGACACCATAGCTTTTGGGCCCAGGGGCACCAAAGGGTCTTAATCAGGCCCTGACTATTGTGTATCTACCAATAAAAATGCAAAAAGTACTGTTGTTTTCATTGCGACTATGAGAATATGAACCATGCTAACGAGTTGTTCTCTGTGTTCAGGAATGAAAACAGCAGCGTGTGTGCCGTGTCTATGCTGGGAGCAGCTGGAAAGCAGCTATACCTCTGCAGACTGTCCCGAATTGAGTTCTTCGTGCCACTCCACCTGAGCGTGTATCAGGGGGGAAGGGAACTCTACAACCGCAGCCTCTCAATTGACCAAGTCTGTGAGTCCACATAGCTTTAGAAGATGTGTCGTGTTTTCCAGAAGTAAACACTACAAAGCCAATGCTTTCACAAGATCCCAATATGACCTAGATACCGACCGATACTCATCAATGGTACTTTTTTCTACTTCTTGTAGAAATGTTTGTTGTGATGCATACTGATGCACTTTCTCTGTCTCGTTTAGTGCTATTGGATCCTCCTGCCAATGTTACTGTGGTGAGGACAAGACAACAGGGGCAGCTGAATGTCACCTGGCTGCCTCCAGCCCTTAAGTACATGGACGACAGTATGATGTACGAGGTCAGATATGTCGTGGAGGGGAGCCCCATGAGAAAGGTACACACGAAATGGTTTTTTGAACGATAAATTAAAAATCCATTTCTAAAATACTGCAAACTTCAGTTAGAAAAAATTAGAAATAGTTAGAACTTGTTCCAAAAAGTTACTCATCATAATGCTCCAATAAAAATTTACAAGATACAGTGGCTCAGTGGGTTACAGATTAACACCAAGAACCATAGTGGACCTTGAGACACCAGAGATATTGAGTAGAGGGCTAGAGCGTCAACTGTCCTTCCTCCAACTACTACCATTGTGTCCTTAAACAAAGCATTTAGTCTCAAGCTATTCCAAGGATGTAACTACATGGTACCCTGTTTTAACTTTCACCCACTCAAAACTGCAGCCCTGGAAGTAAGCGAGAAATATTCAGTAGCCCTAGAACTCTTATTCACTGAAAACTGTGACGGACATGGTGCTGAATCAACAATTATTTACGACTTTAACAAGCCAGGTTTCCATCCAGCTGTTGATTTACGTTTACGCAAATAACTGAAATGTCACCCAAAAGTAAGAAGAAGTTTTCATAAACTTTGTACAAAAAAAAGTTTTTATCATGTTCATTAATTCTAGAAAAACATGGACTGAGTCTAGAAATCTTTGATGTCGGCAAACTTTTCTTTGCTGTTTAGATAAATGTTATGGCTATATTTTACATCATAAAAGCATGGTGACTAATGGCAAATGGCTTAAGAAATGTCTCAAGAAAGCAAGCACACAAACTATTATGCAAATTTTGATATTAACATGACAGTAAAAACTGATGGCTGACTGAAGTTGAACTGTTTAGTGCTTCTCCATTTCAAGGCAATATTATCACAGACACAGCTTGTATTCATGTTTGTGTTGACTGTGAATGTAGATGGTGTAGAGTACTGTTCGAAGAAGTAAGTTTTGTTTTCTTCATTTCAGGAAATAGTGAAGGACAGCACAAAGCTCACCCTGCGTGGCCTTCAACCAAACAGCAAGTACAAAGTGTGGGTCCGTGTCAAACTTGATGGCATCAGCTATAATGGTTACTGGAGCGCTTGGTCTGATCCTGTGTTTGGGACTACTCCCCCAAGTGGTAAATTGATTTTTTTTAGACTAATTAAATTATCTCAGCAATATGCAGTAAAAGCACTAATGTAACACTACAGGCTAAATACATGAACAAACCCTTCCATCATAACATCTACTTGGACTATTCACCAGAAAGGAATTTTATGGACTGACCTCAAATCATTCCTTGAGCAACGCTAATCTGCTATTGTTCCAGAGTTGCAGCTGTTGAATATCAATTTGTGAACATTCTGGCATAATGCAGCATCTTTGCTTAAGGGTAATTAGGTTCCTTTTGTCCTCTTATAGACTTGGACCCATTGATTTTGGTACTGGTTCTCATCATCTCTCTGATCCTCATCCTGCTGTCTCTCACTGTTCTTCTGTCCCATCACAAGTTCGTAAAACACATTGTACACTATGAATTGATTCATATTATGTATGATAAATATAATTATTACAGTTTTCATCATGCAAATTTACTCATACTCCCTCCATAGTGGATGTTTGAGTTCTAACATAAAATTTTGTGAGCATGTAAGTATGAGTGTCTTATAAAGTCTAATCCATTACAGATTCCTGTTAAAGAAATTGTGGCCCAATATCCCTTCACCTGAGCGCAAGTTCCCAGGTCTCTTTACTGTCTACAAGGGAGACTTCCAGGTACAGCGAATTCAGTGCAATATTCTTAATGTTAGGTGTCCATACATATGTGTTTAGGTTGTACCTAGTAAATCAAATAAAGTCTTCTTTATTTCTGTCCGAAAGGAATCTGAAGAGAACTCTGGTATAACTTTTCTTTTCCTTTACCTACCTTAGGAGTGGCTTGGCCACAATAATGGCAGCACGTGGCCAGTCCACATGTACACCGAGGAGCTTCCAGCCCCTCTGGAAGTGTTGTCAGAGGCAAGTCTGCCAGCACCACTTCCCAGTCACATACCTAACCCGAGGCCAGCAGCCATGCCTAGAGCAGCTCCCTTCTCCAGAGAGGAGTCAGACACCATCGAAGAAGGGGAGGATCAGTTAGCGACAAGGGGCATGGTTGCAGGTTTGCTTGACAGATGGCAAGAACCTCGTCACACCCACTGGTTGATGGAGCAGCTAAGGGCCCTTCAGGAACATCCGGAAGCCCTATCTCAATCATCACTCCTTGAATCGCAAGACACATACGTGACTCTCAACCAGAACTCTCAACACACCAAAGAAGATGAGCAAGGGGACGATATCTTGGAGGAGTCACTGCCCCTGCAGGCCCTCTTCGCCAGCAGAGGGACCTCTTTGTCAGCTGCCTCCCATTCCGATCTCGGCTCCCTCCAGCAAAGCTCTGGGTCAGGAAGACTGTCTTCCCAGTCGAGTTTCGAGTATCCAAACCACACATGGCCGCCTAAAGGGCCAGGATATACTTACATGGCTGTGGCAGACTCAGGAGTCTCCATGGACTACAGTCCAATGAGCTCCAGCAGAATAACAGACATGGGCAAAGGTGTCATCTATACCAATGAGTACAAGAACGACATTCTTGGGCACAGACAGCCACTCTCTGGCCAACCAATTCACTCTCAGTACTGATCGAAAGACTGCATGGTGCATAAAAAAGACAGATGTTTTACAAAATAATGCCAAAAAGACATCATGTACTGTGCAGAATATTCCAAAAAAAAAGGACATTTATGTCTAGGACAATAAGGAGCAGTGGAGAGAAGTTCACAGCCAGGATATTTTCACTGCTAACTTTTAAGACATACAAGACAACGTAACACTTGAGGAATCTAAGAATCTCAGACAATTGTACTTGGATAACATAAGCTATTCCTTTGATCTCCTACATTTTTGTGAAAATAAAAACTTTAACCATGGCAGCTGTTGAAGTAAAACAAAGCCTGATATTTTGATATATTTCTGTACAGTACACCACATATCACAGGCAACCTTTAAAAAGGTTTTTATTTTTTACACTTGTATTGAGTTAAATGTTACTGCAGGAGGTTGATTAAGTTTGGTCTTCCAGAAAAGCTTATCAACAATCCCCATATTTTAAGGTTGTGTGTCAATGTACTCTGTTTTGTGTTGGTCACCCTGAATGTCACAAGGGTTCAGCTGTTGTAAAGACTGTAGGTAACCTAATTATCATACCAGGTGTAAATAGCATTGTTGTTTCAACATAACGTGCTTTCAAACCTTTTAGTATTTAATTATTGCATCTACCTGTCTACTCATATAAAACGACTCTTACATCAGTTTTGTAATTTAATGTCATTACGTTTTCAGCATAATGTAAGTGTTATCCAACTATGCTCTATTGTAAAAAAATTCCGAAAACAATTTCCATAACTGTTTACTGAATGTCTATCAAACACTATTTTAAAGGCCTGTAACACCTTATCAGCATCACATTTTTCTTAACAAATAACAAATATAATTTTGCAGAATAAACAGAACCTACTCAGTACTACTGAATAGTGTAATAGTCTTTTTTTAATAAAGAGTCGGTAAATTTATTTTGTTTGTTTATTAAAACCTTCCCTGATTTGATTTTTTTTTCCTGTGCCAGTGTCAGTTTTAATGTTCAGGCAACTGAGGAATAAAAATATATTCTAAGATGTTAATGTTTTTTTTAACAAGCCACTTTGATGTGTGAACATGAAAACTTTAATTAAACATCAGCATGTTCTTCTTACCATTTCTAAATTAATAGCTATTCATTTACCAATAGCTATTGGTTGTAAATTTTCTATGTGAGTGAAAAATAACTTTTTCTTTTGTTTTCTTTTTTGCTGTATGTCATGAATCTCAAAAAGCGTTGGTTCGACAAACATTTATTCAGTGCACATGGCTGTCATCACCTTCTCTACATATTAAATAGTCCTGGTTAAAAAAAAAAAAGAAAAAAAGGATCAACTTCTGATGAATGTTAATGAATAAAGTAAATCTGCATTTTTGTTCTGTCCCATTAGGAGTCTCTTGCCCTACTTGGTTGGAGGGGTGGGTGATCTGAGAGTATTCATGATATGTTATTTATGATATGATAGTTAAGATAAATTGTCACATTACATCAAAACATGCTTTAGCATAATGTTGATACTGTCAGGACTAAACAACAGCATGTCTCATTAGAAAGACAGTATAATTATTTATACAGGTCAATTGGATTTAGTGCCACATCCCTGGACAAAACAATATGCATAATTTCTTCTCTAATACTTGCTGAAGCATCCAAGTTCCTTCATGACAGCACCAATATTATCAGGTGAGAGTTACATCAAATTTATCTCTTGAGATAAATTTGTACTTCTGTCCCAGCAGAACAGCCTGACTGACCAGCACAATCACCATACTTCAATTACAATTCTCAATTTGGGACAGCAGGTGAAATGCTGAAACAGGCACACGTGAACTCTGGCTAAACTGTGCACACAGTTTGTGAAAGAGTGTGCTAAAAGAGACAGGAACTATCAGGAGGCTAGTGTAATTCTTACCTGATAAGACTGGATGCATAACCAAGTAGGATGGTTTGGACTATGTTTTTGTCCAGTGTTTATGTGAAAAGTAAACATTGTTTTGTATTTTAAAAAAATACATTTTTTAAAATTTTGCAATACTGGTGCTTTTTCTGTTCCAATCTTAGAAAAAAGAAACATTGCGATATGTATCATGAAAATTCTCAAGTATTGTGATGTTATATTTTTGCCATGTTGCCCACCCCTATGGTTGTGGCGTGTTTGTATAAAGATTTGAACAGATATCTTATCTGAAAAGCATTGAAATAATATATGCTTTATTATATAAAGCAAAATGTTACATTTCAAAATGTATTTTAATATACATTACTAAACTTACATTAGAATGTATTTTTTACTTTATAAACCTGTAATCCCAAATATTTAAAACAAGCAATGTTCTACATATTTTCTTTCATGTTTTTGGCATATAGTTGTTTTTTATCAACTTTATTTTTGCAATCTGTAATGCAAGGGAGAACAAAAATAAAGTGCATAGTTTATAAAAAGAGAACACATCTGTGTACTTTTCAATGGTTGGTTTCTTATTAGGAATCTGTGATTGCGAGCGGCACATGCATGTTTAAACTCTCTGTGTCTCATTGTTCACTTCCACAGGGTTTTGTCCCTGTGGTGTCTCCCCTTGTTCTGGACTGACTGGACAGAACTCCAGTGCCCCATTAGGCTGCAGCACTACATGCCACCGCAGTTGTTCCTCTGCGTTATTATCCCCATCAACCTGCAGCCCTGGACCCGAGAGACAGAGAAGCCACTTATTTGGCTCCTCACCCATCCTCAACTTTTCTGAGGTGCACCTCACCTGCAGGTAGCGCTCCAAGACCAAAAGGAGGGGGTCCGATGTTAACAGGTCACACCCTCCTACACCTTTCCATTCAGGCTGTATGGAGACGATGACCCTGCACTGGGCCTCGTTCCCTGATCTTGCCTCCAGGTTCCGGGTGAGGAAAGCAGCCGTGTCATGCAGAAGGGCCACCACATGAGCTGCTGCGTTTTGAGTTTCCTGCTGGGGCCTGTTCTGCGCTGCTGGGCCGCATATGTACCGCTCCAAACCGTCCACGATGACCAAGGAAGGGAGCGCTGCAGCCTCCACCACCAGCTCATGAAGGGATGCCACATCATCCAGCAGA